CGGGAAGCGCAAGGGACGGCAGGCGCAAGCGCAGAGGACGAGCGCCTGTCACTACTGCGGCGAGCACGGACATTGGATCGCCAAGTGTCCGGTGCGGATCCGCGAGAACGGGGAGCGGCAGAGGCCGCAACGAGCGAACGTCGCGCAGGTCGAAGATGACTCTGGCGACTTCCTCTTCTCGGTTGGTGGCGACACGGGTGCCTCCAAGCTGAGCGGCATGTGGCTGGTCGACTCGGGTGCGACGCAGCACATGACGTACTCGAAGGAGTACATGAAGAACTACAAGAAGATCTCTCCGGTGGACGTGCATCTGGCGGACGACGGCGTGGATCAGGTGGTGGGGAGCGGCGACATCGTGATGTCGATGCAGACACCGCGCGGCATGAAGAAGGGTGTGCTCACGGGTGTGTGGCACATCCCGAAGCTGTCGCGCAACCTGTTCTCCGTCGGCCGCTTCACCAAGGACGTCGGGCCAGTGACCTTCGAGAGCGACGGGTGCTTCGCGGAAACGAAGGGTCTCAAGTGGAAGCTCGGCGCTCGCGAAGGCAAAGGACTGTTCAAGCTCTGCATGACGCCGAGGACGCCTGCTGACGAGGCCAATGCGGCAAGCTCGAAGAATCGCCAAGGGGACACCACGTCGTACCTCTGGCACCTTCGACTTGGTCACATCGGCCATGGTGGTCTCGACGCCATCGTCAAGAAGGGCTACGGCACTGGCATCCCAATGACGTCGGTGAAGCAGTGGGAGGTGTGCGACGGGTGCGCACTCGGCAAGCAAACGCGAGTAAGCTTCATGAAGTCGTCGCCGAACCGTGCGAAGCAAGTGCTGGAGGTGGTCCACAGCGATGTGTGCGGTCCGATGCAGACGGCGACGTTCGGAGGCAAGCGCTACTTCGTCACGTTCATCGACGACAAGTCGCACTTCTGCGTGGTGTACCTGCTACGGAACAAGTCGGAGGTGGCTGCCAAGTTCGCTGCGTTCGTCGCGTTGGCTGAAACGCAGACCGGCAAGCGAGTGAAGGTGCTTCGGAGCGACAACGGCGGCGAGTACACTTCGGGTGCGATGGCCAAGTTGTGTGCGGATCGCAGCATCGAGCAGAAGTTCACGCCACCATACACGCCTCAGCTCAATGGAGTGGCCGAGCGAATGAATCGGACGCTGGTGGAGTGTGCGCGCTGCATGCTGGAGCACGCCGGGTTGTCGAAGGAGTACTGGGGAGAAGCGGTGATGACGGCCACGTTCCTCCGCAACCGGTGTCCGACGCGCGCCATCAGTCACGACAAGTCGCCGCACCACGTTTGGACCGACAAGAAGCCTTTGCTGGCCAACCTCAAGGTGTTCGGGTGCCACGCGTACGTGCACGTGCCGAAGGAGAAGCGGTCGAAGTTCGACGCTCGGTCGGTGCGCTGTCGTTTCCTCGGGTACTCGGAGCACGAGAAGGCGTATCGGTTCGAGGAGATCGAGAGCGGTCGCGTGTTGGTGAGCCGCGACGCGCAGTTCATGGAGGATGTCTTCGACGGTGGGAGACGCGACTACGCTTCGAAGGAGGTGTTGGTGGGTCTTCCGACAGATGATGATGAAGACACCACGGATGAAGAGACTCAGTCCGGATCAGACGAGAACAGCAAAGAAGCTGCGCGGAATCAAGACTTTGAACCCGGCAGCAAGCGACACCCGCGCACGCAGTCGCTCGAGGAAGCCGTGGAGGTTCCGAGTGCCAAGCGGTATGCGGTGCCGAGACGACAGCAGCCGCTGGACGAGATGTCTGCCGCAGCACAAGAGAAGGAAGACTTCGAGGCTGCGTACGTCGTGGATTCAGTGGGAGAGATGCCGACAACGTTCAAGTCGGCGATGGAATCCAGCGACGCAGACAAGTGGAAAGAGGCGTGCGACTCGAAGGTGGAGTCGCTCCGCAAGAACGAGACGTGGACCCTGGTGCCACTGCCGAAGGGACGCAAGGCGATCGGCTGCAGATGGGTGTTCCGCGTGAAGGAGAACCAGTCTGGAGAGATCGAGCGGTTCAAGGCGCGACTGGCGGCGAAGGGGTTCTCGCAGAAGTACGGCATCGACTACGACGAGACGTTCGCGCCGGTGGCCAAGTTCACGTCGATTCGGGTGTTGCTGAGTCTGGCGGCCAAGTACAAGCTCACAGTGCACCAGATGGATGTGAAGACCGCGTTCCTCAACGGCTTGTTGGACGAGGACATCTACATGGCGCAGCCGGACGGATATGTGGACGGAGATCGACCCGACTACGTGTGCCGGCTCAAGCGTTCGCTGTACGGCCTGAAGCAGTCGCCGCGGATGTGGAACAAGACGATCGACGAGTTCATGTTGAAGCTGGGGTTCAAGAAGTGCGAGTCCGACCACTGCATTTACTTGAAGCGGGACAATCACGACATGATGTTCGTGGCACTGTACGTGGACGATCTGGTCCTCGCCAGCAGCAGCGACGGGATGCTGAAGGACACGAAGCAGGCGCTGAGTGACCGGTTCGAGATGACCGACATGGGCCAGCTCAAGTACTTTCTCGGTATGGAGATCGAGCAAGATGTGGCGACTGGGAAGGTGTCGGTGCGGCAGACCAAGTTCGCGAAGGACATTCTCGAGAAGTTCAAGATGGATGAGAGCAACCCTGTGAAGACACCGCAGGATCCGGGTCTGAAGCTGACCAAGGCCATGTGCGAGGGAGGCTGCAAGCACGACGAGACCATGGCGAATGTTCCGTACCGGAACGCCGTGGGCTGCCTCATGTATCTCATGGTGGGGACTCGTCCGGACCTCGCAGCGGCAGTGGGAGTGCTGAGCCAGTTCGCAGCGGACCCATGTCCGACACACTGGCAGGCGCTCAAGAGGGTCTTCCGCTACATCCGAGGCACGAAGACGCACGGCCTCGTGTTTCAAGCGAGCAGCGAGGACGGACTGCAAGGCTACTCGGACGCGGACTGGGCCGGCGACATCGAGTCTCGACGGAGTACGAGCGGCTACGCGTTCATGATGAACGGCGGATGCATCAGCTGGCGAAGCAAGAAGCAGCGCACGGTGGCGCTCTCGTCGACGGAAGCCGAGTACATGGCGCTGTCGGAGGCCACGCAGGAGGCGGTGTGGCTCAAGGTGTTTCTGTGCGAGCTGGGCGAGATGGCGAGCGATGAAGCGGTGAAGATCTACGAGGACAACCAAGGCTCCATCGCGTTGGCCAAGAACCCGGAGTTCCACAAGCGCACCAAGCACATCGACATTCGCTACCACTTCGTGCGCGAGAAGGTGGAAGACGGTCAAGTGGTGTTGCAGTATGTTTCGACACTCGACATGCTGGCGGACATCATGACGAAGCCGATCGCGGCGCCGCAGTTCGACGCGCTCAGGACGAAGCTGGGCATCGTGGTCGCTGACGAGTCGAGTGGGAGTGTTGTCAAGACTGATGTGACGACGCCTCGCCAAGCGACCGTGTGACGCGAACGCGTCATCAGTGAGGTCGGCGTGACCTTCACTGTGTTGTACCGCAATCATTCAGGTGATTACGGGACGATGATTACGTCACGGTGATTACGCCAAGATTGTGGTACAAGATGGGCATCGACGTGGCGTTCTCTGATTGGATAAGGTAACTGTGTATCCAGTAGAGAATCCAGTAGGGTGTATCCAGCAAGAGGTATCCAGTAGCAGGCTTAGAGGTAGCACGCGGTTGCGAACTAAGGACCTGAATCGAATCACTTTGCATTTTGCCAACTACTGCTCAAGTGTTCTTCCTTTTAAAATGTTTTGTATTTGGGGAAGGGCCATCGGAACTGAAATCATACTTGTAGACTTCTGAATACCAGGCATCGATTGTTTTCTTTATGATTTTACATGGGTCGTTTTGGTATCCTTTAAGGAATCCTAAATTCTCACCGTACAGAGGGGTTTCCAGAATGTTTGAAGTCTTTTGTCCTAATCAAAGGTGGCTGCATAGTTCTGTGGAAATGCAGCGATGTGTTTGTTATAATTAAGAGTCTTCGTATTGTGTCGCGTTCGATGTAGATTGATATAATGAGTGGCATTTACTAATTGCACATGATTAAGCTCGCACGTTTGTGGCATTATCGATCTATATTTATACGATCATTATATCTTACAAAAGACGCCTCACTAATCAAAACAACATGGATACGCACTGATCTAAAATTTTCACCAAATGCAATGAAAGATTATATGCATGTACAATGCCAGCCAAATGTTTATTGCAATCCGCAAGAGCTTGTATTATCTCACGATCAATTGCGTCCATATCGCGTATCAATATCCGATGATACTGGCTGCTTGGGGGATACGCCTGAACTTTATCAAGATAACGACGATGCGTATAGAATAACCATGTTAGGCGAGTAAAGGTTTTGTATCTACCTTGTTATCAATGAACAGAAGCAGTCAGACATAGTATGAAGCAATCTTTGTTGTTATGGCTTTTTCAGGCATCACCGTCTCGAAGATGGCTTCCACTTCAATGCGCTTGTGGTTGTTCACTTCAGTCTGAATTTTTTCCGACCCCATCCACAGTTTATCGCTGTGTTGATTGATGAAGCTATATGGAAGGAAGGTGTGACAGACCGAAGGATATGATCGTCCATCCATTTTGCCCCCACTTGTCAAAGCAGTGTGGAAGCACTTCGATGTGATCAGTGATAAATTCAATCGAGAGGTTCTGGTATGCCAAAATGGTTTCCCATACGAGATCACCAGGGCGGATGTTTTCACGAAGAAACTCCACTGAAAGAGATTCAAACCGGCAGATCATTTCTTGATCATTGTAGCTAAGATCGCTCCATTGAGTAAGCTCCGAAGTCTGCATGATTGTTGAGTTGGTAACCGTAAACTGATTTGCTTTATATCTCAAAGCCGCGCGGATTGCTATTTTATCCTTAGAAGTAATGTACTATATCACTAATATAACAAGCAGTTAACAATGAGTTTTCTAGTATTCGACACTGAAACCACTGGGCTTCCGGAAAGCTTCAATTTGTTAGCCACCATGTTGCTCTGTCGGCGATAGCGTACGCAGCATCGCAGCTACTGCCGCCTCCCCAATGACTGTTGACAGTCGTTGGAGTGCCTCCCACTCTGGATCCGACAGGTGGAGGCAGTCAGCGCGTGCAACATGAGTTCCAGGCGAAGTGGAGCTTTCCATGGGCACCTCCGCGCTCATGAAAAGGTTCTCGGCTCCTCGTTCGTACAGCTCCGTACGAACGTTCAGGCAGTCGGTCGTTGGACGGACTACAAAGTGCTACCAGGTGTAGCGGGCCTACCTTGGCTCACTACTACGGCTTACACGTATGCGCACGTGTATGAGGAAGCGTAGGTTTCTTTTATTTGAGTTAAGTATACTCGAGATCCATGAATATACTTTAAACAAGATAAAGACTCCAAGTAGCGGGTTTTGGTAAAAGATGAGAACTGCTATTGTTGTTTTATGTTTCTGACTTCCTCTAAAATACAATATTCTAAACTAGGAATCTGCCAACGGCTGGTTGGCAGGATTCTGCTAACATGCAAGTCAGTCATTGGCTAAAATATGCTGCTTTCAGCCAATAGGAATCCTAAATGTGTATGGACCACCCGTCGTGGTGGTCGTAAATGTATGTAGCCATTGGTGTACGTTACACCAAGGTCGAGGAAGTGTTCAAACCTCTAACAGACATCGCATCTGTTAGAGTAACAAGTGACTGTAGCTATAACCCCGTTACAGTTTGGGTATCATGTCCATAGCTTCAGCGTGAGATCACGAGCTGCTCCTGACTAACACCACCCCTTATCACCCCTGTACCAGTAGCTACGGCCCATGTTCAGTGTCATATCTGATAACAAACTGATGAGTAAGCTGTGATTAAGATACCGGATCGAGTGGTATTTTAATGATATTAAAATATCTACACTGACTACGGTAATTAGTCTGAGTCAGACTAATTACTACTCAGTCTGAGTCAGACTAATTTATGTGAGCACATTTTTGGCGCTCTCCATTCACAAAGACTAATAATGAACATAGACTAATTCTGAACTTCATAATTAGTCTGAGAAGTATACTAAACGTAGGTATATTGTGCCTTGCATGCTTTCTGTCTAAACAACGACGTAATTCGTTGTTTTAGCAAATCACGGTGATTAGCCCATCATTGAGTCAGGAGGCTAACTCGTCGATTTAAGATAGAATAGCTGCTAAGACAAGGAGTTAACGTTGACTTATGCTCACTTTCGTTGAATGGCTGGAGTAAATCCGACAATACTACGGCCCTGATATTCTAATTCTAACTTGCTCGCTTTGTCTGATTGCTTTCTAGTCGATGATTGACATGCGTTGGCGATCTATCGTACTAAACTATTATACGTCTACAATATTGAAGAACATCCCTGTTTTGAGCTGCAAGCAGCTTTAAAGTCAGCGTTTCCTGCACATCCAAACATTTCTAGTAGAAATTTTCTACTGCTACTATATGCCGTGCTCTGAAATTCGAGCTTGGTTTAACGCAAGGCCACGACGAAGAGAGCGAAGAAGAAAACGTCCCCGCCGAAATCGGTGCTTAGTTTTATGCAAGGAGTTGGCACCATTCTATCGGGGACCTTATCAGTTTGTTTTCTTGCGGCTTCGTCGCGTTGCCCCCAGCGTTGCGGGACTTGTCCTCGGCCGACGCTAGGTAAACGCGGCGTAGATCACCCTCCGAGTCCGATCCGTCTGATCCCGTGTCCGATCCAGACCCCTGGCTCGCGATCTGTCAACGTCAAGACGCCTGTGGGACTCGAACCAGGTTGGATCCACATGTAGTATCATTCCGGGAAGTCGGGCTCTCACTAACCACCTCTCGCGACTTCTTCCACTGGTGCGACAGTCTTCCAAAACCGTGCGAATTTGGTGCGAATCGTATTTAACCGAGAACAGGTGAGCTCCTCGTTTGCACCGCCAGTTACGCTACGCTTCGCTTCGCTCATGGCGGGCAAGGCGTCGGTAAAAAGATAGTAACTACTTCGCAGTGCAACTACTCCGGCCTACACGCCGACCATTGCAGACCTCCGCTACGCTCCGGTTGCAAACGGTCTCTCTAAGGCCTCATATGACATATGCTAGTTTGGAGTTTCGCACCAGTCGAAAGAAGTCTTACTTCTTGGTCACATATGCATAGACGGAAACAGGTCGCTCGTCTCGTACTGGTTTCCAAGCCAGCGAGCCGCCGAGAAGATGTTAAACTAGGAAACATCTTCTCGGCGGCCGGCGGCAGCATTCCCGCGTGTTTATTCGGGTCAAACCACTGGCGCAATTGGTTGAAGAACTCCTCCATCGGGCATTCTCCGGCTTCGTGCACGTCACCGCAGGCCTTGCACACCCTCAAGCATCGCTCCGTCGGGTGCTGGTCACCACACTTCTGACACGTCAACAACTTCCAGCAGTCTCTCTCAGCGTGGCGACGAGAACCACAGTGGCGACAACGCGGACGATCGCGTCCCGAGTCGTTGGGATCAAAGTTGTGACGCGCCGGCTCTCCCGGCGGGGCCTGCCCCGCGACGAACAACTTGGCGCGTTCTTCGTCCTCCTCGTCTTGGTCGTACTGGCGATCGTCGCTGTCGCGACTTTCGCGTTCCGAGTTGTACTCGTCCGACGCAACGTGAATCGCATGCACGGCGCGCGCCGGCTGAGTCGGCGGGGTCGGCGCCTTTTGGGGGAACTTGTTCGAGCAGAAGAGAGTCTTCTTCTGGTGAGCCAATCCACGTTGTCGGGCACGCAGCTTCTTCTCCAGCGCCTCGGAGTTGGCGACCTCCAGTAGCGTGAGACGCGAGGCGAGTTCGGCCTCCTGCGTGTTCAGCGTCCGGATGAAATGCTCGACGTGTTCGCGCTTCTCTTCAGTCGTACCCTCGGCGTATGGGATGTTGGCCCTCAAGCCCGCGACGTTGAGCCGGTACAAGTAATTCAGAGGGGTCTCGTCGGGGCGCTGAGCCGCATGGTAGTAGCGGCTGGCCATTGACACGCCCTTGCCGCAGTACTGCACACGGAATTGCTCCCGGTCCATGATTTCTTGACCTTCCTGGGCAACTGGAGATACCATTGGCGCGCAGGGCCGCTCATTAGATCGCTGAACTGCCACAGTCTGGCTTTCTCTCCGCTGGCGTCCCGTCCCGAGAACTCTTTCAGCTCGGAAGATGCTGAGAGGCGTACGCGACCGAGGCCTACGCCGCCGGCTGTCACCGTCGAGACGGCGGCTGCGGTTCTTGGCGCTCCGATGTCCAAGTCGAACAGGTCGTCGGGGTCTTCATCCGCGTCGCGTCGAGTTCTGGACCTCGTCGAAGAACGCGAGCTGACCGACTCCATGGCGACACCCGCTGCCTCCTGGGGGCGAGCCACCGTGGGTGCAGGATTCACGGGCGGCTTCGGCCCCGCCGGGATTGCGGCTGTTTCGGCGCGTGGGGTGCTCATCACTGTCGTCTGCATCAGCTTGTTGATAGATTCTCTCAAGGCCTTAGGAAGCACCTCCTCGGCGGGTTTCGTCACTTCTGTGCGTGCGGGCGCCGCGGATAGCTCCACGACGCGCGGCGGCCGGTTCATGGGCATGCGCTTAGGCGGCTCGAAACTGCTGTCGGAGCCCACGCTTGATTGGTATCGAGGTGGTGGCGAGGGCGTGGTCGTCGAAGTCTGGGCTGGGTCCGCCGAGGGACCCGGCGCGTCTTGTTTGACGGATCCGGCGAGAATCGTCAAGGGCTCCTGCACGACGCGAATCGCCCGTAACCAAGATTTGAGGTCCCAATCGCACATCCTCTCCATCTCGAAAGCCCCCAACACGAACCCCGAGTCACGCAGCATCTGGAAGAGAGTCGGCGCGGCCTGTCAAGTTGCTCATCAGCATGGGCTTGAGGAAGACCAAGATTGGGTCTTGCTCTAGCAGACGGAAGAGCTCCGTGCGCGCCACGACGTACCGTACCTCATCGACGGTGTACTGACGTCCCGTGTCCTTGCCTTGCGGCTTGGACAGCGACTCCTCCGCCGAGTCCGGCGCGCGCAGCTTCTTCATCTTCTTCTTGGGCGACTTGGGCTTCGTGGCTGCCTTGGCGGTGGGTTGTTGTTGGTCGTCGGTCTTTGCAGGCTTTCGACCGGTAGGACCGCGACTTGCGTCACGGCCCTTCGCGGCTCCCTCGTCGGGAGCCGCATCGGGAACAGCAAACTGTTCTTCGTAGCCCTCCTGGTCGTCGCTGGCCCCGTGGCCTGTCGTGAAGGTTCCCTCAGAGCTCCACGACGCGACCGGTCTCTCACTGTGCTCTCTTGCAGTCGGCGACCTTCCAGCCGACTGCGCACCTGCCACCGATGCCTCTTGGATTGTTAGCCCGTCATTCGAAGTAGTACTCCCGGGTCGCGGCACCATTGTGGAGTAGCGCCCTCGCAGAAATCTCGCGGAGTCGATCTCGCACAAACTCGGCGCGTCTGGATAGCGGTCGCGCCGAGCCAATTATTCCCGGTTGTTGGAGTAGCGTATCTTCGAAATATAGGCCCAAGTCTTCGCAGGCTTCAGAGTTGGGGGGGGGGTCTTGTGTTGACGCCTTCTTCCTCCGGCGCCCGGCGCGCCCACTTCTTCCGCGGGGTACTACACCACACCATCAAAACTTGGTGCATGCCTCGACCGGGCATACGCCGTTCTACGTGAATGCCATCAGGCACCCACGCCTCCCGAGTCTACTCGGGATGGTGGCTCCATCCTGAAGTGGGGGAGGATCTACGACTGCAACGCAGCAGCCGCAGAATGCCGCTGACACTTGCACAGTGTCAGCCGCGACTACGCGCAAGAAGAACAAGAAACACGCGTCTGTGCAGGGCACAGACACCGCGAAGACGAACGCAGAGGCCGGGCCTACTGCTGGAAATGAGCTGAACGAGTTCAGCTCGGACACAATCAACTTCGTGCAGCGCAGACAAGCCGTCATTCGGTTTGTCCAAGACGCTATTGCAGCTTCTGTTGATCGACAGAAGCTGAACGCAGACAACGTTGGCAGGGGCAACACAAATGAATTCAAGAAGGGTTCATTGGTTTTGTTCGCTACTCAAAACCTGCCTAAACATGCCGTTTCCGACTTCGGGGCGAGCAAGCTCGCTCCGCGCTTTATCGGACCGTTCACTGTGCTGGCACGGCACGGCAACGCCTACACACTGGACATACCGTCTAGTATGCGCATCCATCCGACGTTCTACGTCGGACGGCTGAAGCTATACCTGCAGTACGAGCTACCTAGCTCGGCTGAACCGAAGCAGAAGACTCGGCGGAAGCCGTCATCCTTTCCAGCGCGACTTCGCGCTGGAGCAGCGGGTCGGGCTAATGGTCCAGCTCGGCCGGAACGGTCGAGGCGGTCTGGGAGGCCGCCGCAACCTGAGGATACTTCAGAGCGCCGAACCCAGCGCTCTGGAATTACTCCACGACCGGAACTCGGTCGTGGGGAGACGCGAGATCAGGGTCAACACCAAGTTGACCACACACGGGGCGTGTTTCCACCACCACCGCCGCCAATTCGTGACGCACACGGCGCAACTCGATGGATAGTTGAGCGGATTGTTGGTCACAGTATCCCGAGAACGAACAGGCAACCGGTTCGTTTTCGTATCCGTTGGAGAGGATTCCCTCCCAACCAAGATACATGGGAGCCGTGGAACGTCTTGCTCGAAGACGTCCCGGACATGGTGAGGGCGTACGAAGCCCACCATGCGCTACACGCTGGAAAGTAATACGAGCGCTGTTGTTAACAACAGCGCCCGAAGGCACTTCAAGGGCAGGCTGTCCCGCACGTTGCCGCGCATTATACGCAGCAGTAGAGATGTCCTCCGCTGCTGCACCAGGGGTCTTCAACTTCGGCGTGCTCGTTACGGAACGAGCACGCTCTCTTCAAACGTCACGCATTGACCAAATGGTCAATGGTGGTTGACGTGCCGAGACCAGCACGTCTAACCTTGACGGGGGGGGGGGGATGGTGAGGCGAGGCGGGTGAACGCCTGACCGCCCAGGTGTTTAGCTTGGCGCGTCCCGGGTGTAGACTCCCGAGTGGAGTACACCCAGAACAAACCCTAGCCGGAGATAGTACACCTAGATGTACACTCCAACTGGGGTGGCGTGTGTCCTTGTGAACAATCCCTGTGGGATCGTTTGTCTTCGTAACCAGGGGTCTTCAACCGTGGATGAGTTGTCTTGATACTTGTAGATCGCTAGGTAGCAGGGCAGAACGTAAGCTTCCTGGACGTCGCCTCTGACAGCCTTCAATAACCAAACAATACAAACAAATACAGAGTTATATACAAACACGTAGCCTTTCCTTATTGTTTTGGACCGTGAAAGGGTCGGTCACTACTCCAGTCAACTCCAGCCGGACTCCGGGATACTGGTCAATCCCGGTCGGCTTTGGCTCACGCGCACCACCCTCAAGTACTGAGGGAAACGAACACAATCAAATACCTCCTATCACACAATAGCTCTTAAATCAATACTTACCACCCGGGGCTTCTCCAACCGGGGTTAAAAGGTAATCGGTAATATGAAATGCGGGGCCTTCCTGGTCTGGACGAGCTCAACCGCAACTAGGAAATGAAATGGGATGGTCAACATCGGGTTGTCGCCCGGTACTCACCCCAACTTGGACTGGACTTGGTTGCGGGAGCTCGACCCAGATGTCACAGTTGCTGGGCCCTCACACGTAGACTTAGTCGGCCCTCCGGGAATGCACGTCCGGTAGACTGCTCCAACTCACTTGTGTGATCCTTGGCAAAACGAACTCTGTTTATCTGTTATCTGTGGTCTCTCTCTCTCTGTCTGGCTATCTTCTGTCGATCTTTACATGCACCCATCTTGACTTGTCTTCACTATGGTCTTGTCGTCGTAATCGTCCGCGGTCCCTCGTAGCATACCTCCAGTAAGTATAATCATCACTGGGTACGCAACCGAAGTTCAATGTCCCACGGAATCCGAACAGATCTTGGCTGGTCGGCTTGGTCGGTCGGAAACATCTTGGACTTTGTATACTGGATCTTCACATCTGGGATGGTATCTTGGTATCTTGGTATCTCCAAACGGGATCATACACCACTTGGGCTTCGCATCCGGGATGTCTTGGACAGCTTCACGGCTTCTGGGTCTTCACTCGATCCGGTCAGGCTCCTCTTGCGTTGTACACTGCACCAAGAGCAGGTGGCCTCCAGTCGGAGGCACTTCTACGCTCCCTTGGGCTTTGCCTCTCGTTCGGTACTTGGTTCCAGCCGCGGTCCGCTCTTGGGGACATCTCCATCCGGGGTCACCAAACCTTGTACACTACCAACGCGAGTCCGGCCGGGATCCGCTTTCCCATACGCCACGTGTCGCTGCCTCCCTCTCCCATAGTGAGCCTCTGAGCCAACCAATCACAGGCGCGGCTCGGGGAATCCTCGAAAATCTCCAATCCCATCGTGTCAAACGCCCCTCTTGTTACGATCCATTGTAGAGTCCATTCGGCGAAACGATCGATCATGACAAGATCTCACGATCCAAGCAAGCCCAGATCGGTGGGCGCCCCAGACGGGGATGGCTTCAGTCAACTCCCAACTGTCGCGTCTCTTCTTTGCGCCCTGTCCCAACCGGTTCACTTTTCATCAATTTCTCTTTCCAGTCTGCGGCAACGAAATCTCCACTCACAATGAAATCTGCGTGCCACACTCAAGCCATGGACGCCCCCGCATCGAGCGCCGACGCGCCGCTTATCCCAGCACAACTCCCGTCTTCTGCGCCTCCAGTGGGGGGTGCGGAGGCGGGCGCGGGCAACGGCGGCGGCAGTCTGGCTGCTAGCGGCGAGACACATGTGCCGGCCAAGCCGGCCCCGTCGACCCTGCGCGCAAGGTCGACGAGGCCGGGGAGACCATGGAGGTCGACGAGTGGGTGGACACCGGCGAGGACGACGACGCCGACGAGGAGGAAGAGGAAGAGGAGGAGAGCGCAGCGTCTTCTGCGAGGAACTCGTCCCTGTGCACCAACGACCAGCCCGTCCGGGAGGACGAGGCCATGGAAGAAGCTCCCATCCGGGATCCTCTACGCGAGCGCACACCAAGTGTCACGGCTGCGGTGTCCAGCCTGCTGTCGTTCGATGAGGTGATCGACTTCAAGGCGTCTGGTGTCCTCTCGTCAACCTATCCGGGATCTCAAGAGGTTGTCAACATCCTGCCTTCACGCCACATTCTCCCGCCCAAGCGGCTTGGTGACGGCAACTCCTATCTGGTCGGTGTTCCTGCACACCCACTGGCGTATCAGTCGGAGCGCTACATCCAGGAGGGGTATGGTGACACGGAGGCGTTGACAATCTTCGACGGCTTCTCCGCCCAGGCCCTCTATGACCTGGGTAACCTGGTTGGCAGTCAGACGGAGCTGCGCAATAACTTGCTGCGCCTGCATGCCAACCGGGAGTCTCTCAGGCTGCCGCAAATATATAGCCGGAACGGGTCATTGTGTCCACTCTCATTTTCTTCCGATATAAGAACACTCAGAGACCCATTCCTCTAACCACAACCATAGCTTGCCCATTTTCTCTTCAACACTTTAAGACTCTCCAGAACACTTCTTATCCTCCTTAGATTAAAAGAGCACTTCTCTACTTCCCACAATATCCAAACATCTTCTCGTTAAGTAAATCTTAGAGCAAAAACGAAGTTCTCATGGATTTTCTAAATTTCAGAATAATCTCTGAAATTCAGAATTTATTGGAAAATTCAGATTTCAATAAGTCATCAACTTCTGCCTACGTCTGAGTGTCGCTCAATAGTCATTGCTATCTTAAGGGAAATTTAATAATATATAGGATACGATGTGCAATTACCTAACTAAAGACGGAATCAAATGCAAGCTGTCGCCGAAGAAAGACATTTGTCATATTCATCGGAAGTATTCGATTATCGATCACAAAAATAATGAGATTCGAAACTTGAACAAGCCAATCGCGAAGGCGAGGATGACTAACAAATCGCTACGCAGTGAAGTTAGCCATCTCAAGGATGATATAGTCTTTCTTCGATCAGCTCTCTAGATTAAAGATAGTATCATATCCTCAATGAAGAAAGCCTATGACCAATTCATGTCAATCAAGCAATTTGAGATGAAGAAAGCTCGTTTATCGAAATATGTCCACGATATGACTGACATATACGAGCTAAAATCGTTTTGCAGATCGAAAGTAAACGTGTTGACACTGTCAGAGATTTTCGGAGAACATGACGACTACTGGAGACACTACAACGAGCTGCGAATCCAAAGAAACAAGCTGTACCATGAATTTTAGTCCATCTTAACAAAAACAAAATACTAGTATATCCAACGAGACTAAACCATGAAGAGCTACAATACAGAAGAAGAGAGACTCAACGCGAGACGAGAGGCGAATCGGAAATACTATCAGCAAACTCGCGAAAGTAGACTCGCTAAGCAACATCAATACTATCTAGATCATAAAGATGAGATTAACGAGAAGGACAAAATCAGATATCAGCAAAAATACTAGCGATTAGCGATTAATCGATGAATATTTTTTTGCTACTATTAGTATAACTGAGAATTTTCCGATTGATCTTAAGCGTATTTCCCCAAGTAATATATCCACATAGTAAAAGGAAAATGCCAATCTCATCAGCCCTTAAGAAAGCTCAAAAGCACCGTAGCGACCTATACCGGTTCGCAAAGAGTAAGAATCTGACAATCCATTGGGATATGAAGACAAAGAAGATGGAGGAAATTGTCAATGCGTTCAAGAGCAAGAAAGCTATGACAATTGTCAAGGCTTTCAAGTCATCGAAGCTTAACAATGATCCATCAACTCTCAAAGTCATCAACACTACAACTGGAAAGGTCAACGTATCGCTAAGTCGCTTTAATCGCATTCGGAAGCAGATTGTATCGCCAGCTGATAAGAAGTTGCTAATTCATATCAAGGGTTCGGATGGTAGAATCGCGAAGTCATACCACCTCAACGATCGCGTTGTAAATATCAACAATCTTTTCATTGACGAGGAGAATCAATATAGCTCGGGAGCTGACATTGAATTGAATATTCTACCTACAACGACCATTGAGACTGAATGGCTACCAAATTCTAAGCGATCTCGATCAGAGCGCAAGAATTTCTTTCGATATCTGCCGAAGGCCGACTACAATCTAGAGGCATTCCAAGTGTATTCAGATGACTTCTTGATTGAAGATAAATACAACGACGACAGCTTCGTACCGGGCGAGAGCAACGACGACGAGGCAGCTAACTATCCGTGCTTTCTGTTCGCGCTATACAAGGCAGAAGCAAACCCAGATCTTGTGAAGCGGATCTCACAGACAATGTTCAACTCGGGAGCTACTGTTGATTTCATTCGGAAAACCGCCAAGGCTTTCAACATTTGCATCTCTGTTAGGCAATTCCGTGTCAATCAGAAGACTGGCAGATGCAATAACGACACAACGATCTATGGCGATAAATGCAAACTCGATGTTTATCCTCGGTTCTGTTGGTGAGCATCTATTTGCTATTGCGCCACCAAAGGTGCCCTCGATAACCCCGAGCTAGTTGCCGAGCATGGACGAACTGATTTCCGAATCAAGGGAGGGAGGGTTGTTTTCAACGATAAAAAAATCTCTTTCCTCGACAGCTATGGGGTCGTTAGCTATCTATACCACCACCGCGAGACTCTCCTGTCGCCTATCACGCAGCCTAAATATGCCTAATCTTCTCAACAACAAATACCAAGGGGTGCGCTCACTGGATGAGGGAGACTTCAGTAATTGCAACTTCAGAGTCATGGGTCGCGTCCCAGGAAAAGAGCTTAAGCTCGGTCAGGCTGTATTTAGAGCCTTCAACTGCATGACGCGTGAGTTCTATGATGTCCGAAAATACAACGTGATCTACTTCGACTTCGAGACCCTGGTTCTCAACGGTATTCATGTTCCATACTGCGTATAATATAGTATTTCAGAGTTCAACGAAAACTCACCATCTTCTCCGACATTCAGTGAGACGAGGAACATCTATGGCTTTGGCTGCGAGAAGCAATTCCTAGAATCGCTTCCGTCCAACAGCAAGAATCTCCTCTGGGCTTACAACGCTGGCTTCGACGCTCGTTTCCTGCTAAAACATATGAGCTACAAGTCTAAGGATACTAATATGCTTGATTGCGGCTCTTAGATCAAGCGAGCTCACGGCTTCTATAAAGGACATGAGATTATTATTAAGGATTCGATGTCCGTCCTTGCTGGAGTATTAACTAGACTCCCTAAGATGTTCAAGGACGCGTCGTCGTCTTTATCTCTTGAGAAGGAGTGCTTTCCTCATGCTTTGATCAACGAGAGCAACTTTAGATCCCTCTGGCCTCTCGAGTATCTTGATTCATACGACAACAAGGACACCCTCATCGATAATGCTTCTAAGATAGGAGCTATCGTTGATGATACGTTTGCGAGATGTATGCTACTCACTACTGCAATCGCGATGTTGATGTACTTAGAGTATGTTTCGAAGCTTTTCGTGCCCTGGTGAAGGAGGAGTTCGATCTTGACATCTATCGATTTCTCAGTGTATCATCTCTCTCTCGCATATCAACACAACGAGGGCTGCTTCGATGACTACTATGAAATGAATTCGGTGCTACTAGGCTTCTTACGCCAAGGAACCGTTGGTGGGCGAGTGATGGCCCGCGATAACGGCAAATATCACCTGAAGCACAAGCTAGCTGACTTCGATGCGGTATCTCTATATCCATCTGCTATGAGTGAGCTCCCGGGTTATGTCAGAAGCAAGGGAAAGCTTTTCAAGGATTTGATCCCTTCTGATGCGGACTACTACGTCGCTTTGAGTCTATTGATATCAAACGCCACTTTCCTCTACTGAGTTTCTATGAGAACGGATCTCGCAATTTCACTAATGATATTGTCGGCCAAACCATGATTGTAGGTAAGCAGGCTCTCGAAGACATTGTTCGTTTTCAAGGAGCCATATACACGGTGATCGAGGGTATCTATTGGAACGCAGGTTTCACCGACCAGATCACCAAGACCATCCGAAAGATGTTCAACGCTCGTCTCAAGTACAAAGCAGAAGGCAATCCGCTTCAAGCGGTACTCAAGCTGATGATGAACAGCTCGTACGGCAAGCTCCTGATGAAGTCGATCGTGAAGAAGAAGGTTTTCGTTAGTGGCGGCGATAAGAAGATCGATGCATACACTCGCAAGAACATTCATCGAATGATTTCGAGAACGCCAATCAGCGATAATCTAGCTATGTTTGAAGAGCACAAGGCTCTGAGTCAGCATTTCAGTCCGATTCATCTCGGTATCCAGATTCTCGATTCATCCAAGCATATCATGAACATAGTCATGTGTTTGGCAGAAGACATCAATGTGAACATATGGTATCAAGACACTGATTCCATGCACATCGACTACGATAGTGTTCCGCGTCTAGCAGATGCAAACAGAGAGCTGTACAATAGTGCGTTAATTGGCAAGCAAATAGGTCAATTCCACGTAGATTTCGATCTTGCTGGATAGGAGGGCAACATCTTCGCCAAGGAGTCAATCATTCTTGGCAAGAAGAGCTACCTTGACGTTCTTGCCTGCGATGGCAACGATGCGACAGGTCTTCATATCCGCATGAAAGGCATTCCCGGTAAGCTACTCGAGGGAGATGCACACGCAACATAAATTAAGCTATTCAATGGTGAATCAGTATCCTTCGATTTAACCGAGCTGTGCTCGATTAACATCAACTCTAAGACACAATCAGTGTCTAAGCGTTCGAATTTTACACGCTGTGTTTCATTCGTGTAAATATAGAGCAGAGCTTACTCACAGCCATGGACTCACTACTTAAAAAATGTATTTTGACCCTAAAACAGGTTTTATTGGAGCTGACAAGCTCTATCGTAAGGCAAAAGCATTTGATAAAAATATCATTAAGAAACAAGTATCTGAATGGTACAAGAAGCAGCATAGTATTCAACAGTTCTCGTCTCGAAGCAAGAGATTTCCTCAGTTCAAAATTGCATCCAACGACCCCTACGAATGGCAATTAGATTTAGCATTCTGGGAGAAGCAACCAATCCTCATTTCAGTGAATATCAATAGCAGAATTGGTTTAGCTACACTATTGAAGAACAAACGAGCAGATACTGTTCTTAATGCGATTGAAGAGTTTGTTGATAAAAATGAAGTTTCAGCCATATTTTCTGACAATGGCAGCGAGTTTATCAATAAATCTGTTGAATCGTTCTTTGATGAGCGCTCTATTAGTCATGGTAATTCGATTGCCGGCGACCACTCTGTTCTCGGAAAAATCGATCGTTTCATACGAACGATCAAGTCCAAACTAACCAAAATGAAGGAAATTATCAAATTCAAGAAACTATCACAGTCGATATTGAATGAGGCAATCGCTAATTACAATAACACTTATCATTCAGCGATCAACGCAACACCTTCAGAAATGAGAGGGAGAGCAATGCTAGATGATGTTGAGTACAACAAACGCCTCGTTAAAAAATTAATACCGATATCCCACCAGGATCGATAGTGAGATATCGCTAAAGCAAAAACGCCTTTGGATAAGGAAGGAGCCAGATGGAGTAGAACAGCTTATGAAGTAGTTGGGTTCGATGGGTTGAAAATTCGCATCAGATCAAAAAACAACCATATTCTTTTCAGATCTCCAAATGAGCTAAAACTAGTCAACGCAAACCCATCTGATGCGGAGATCAATGACCGTGTCAATCAATTCTGGGAGGTAGAGACTATATTGGATCATAAAAAAATGCGCAACGGCAAATACAAATACTTCATCAAATGGAACGGATATGACGACCCGTCGTGGGAGTCTCAGGATAATCTACGCTTGATCAACAAGAACGAGCGCAGTGCGTTGGAGAAGAAGTATTGGAGCACAGCTACAAGTTGAGGCTCTTGAAGTTCCATTTGGTATCCCGAATCGTTTCTACTTTCTCGAACTCGGTTGTCAGCAATCGTTTGAGCTCGTATCTTGCGATCATGATACGTCGAGCAAGCTCGGCATTTTTTTGTGATTCAACCTCGGCATCATCTTCGATACGGCTATTGTCATAGACTCCGGATGTAGCTAGATCTTCTGAATCAATATATTCAATTTCGCCCTCCATCGTAAATTTATGTGATTGAGTATATATATAGATTGCGATAAAAATACGATGACATCATGCCGAGCACTCACTAAAAGCGACACCCCATGCTCTCGCAATGCTCTTAAAATCGGATACAGTGCTCAGCACGACAAGGATGCTAAGATTAGAATGTACCGCAAGGAGCTATCAAAGATGCACGAGCGCGTTCGTCGATATTTGGAGATCACTAACGAACTCAACGATAAGCTCTCGATCATCCAAAAAGTTGATTTCTACAAGTCTGAATTGATGAAGATCGGAAGCCATGATAGACCATACAGAGGAATCATAGATAGCTCGTTCTACAAGGCCGAAATTGAAGATTTATTTGGCATGAAAGCTTCTGCTGCTCATGATGAGTATGATAGACTGCTTGCGTTACGGAATCAATTGGTCCATCCACATACACTAGATGGCAGAAACGGCTCTAGGACGGGGGCTTTGCCCCGCGTCAAAAATATGGGTTTGCGAAAACGATATCAGGTAGACTATAAAAGAACGATGTTTCCATCATTCAATAGCCTATCTGAGCGAGAGCGCAAGCGCCAGGAGCTACTGCGCGAGGCTGAACGCGAGCTCGCTATCGATAGGCATCTATCGCAGAGATATGTAGAGATCTTATGGGCAGCCGATAACGAAGCGAGTACTATCCCTGTAGCCAGAACTACTTATGGAGTCAGCACGCAAACAGATGGTACGCAAGCAGCGCCCGCTGCTTCTGTAGAAACCGCTACTACGCCAGTGAGCGCTCCTCCGTCCGAGGCATCAGCTGATACAGTTGTGGAACCAGGGGCCTTCTCCGAATCTGATCGAATGCGTGTCGATGCTGCGTTGAGTGCTTCACCAGCAATGCCAGCTCCTCTCAGTCCTCCCTCCACGACAACGGATCAGTCGTTGGCATACAATAGGCTAAAATATCTGTTTCAAAAGTATCCTGAGACTCAAGCATGGAACATTCCACCAATTTTTCACGCTATTTCTAAAAAACGTCAATCTACTTACCTCATCGGGAAAGACATGTCATACTTCACAGCGCGCGATCGAAAGGTAGTTCCCGAAAATCGTGTGAGAGAGTTATTCTCAGAGGTCGATTGGGTAGCAACCATGAACTGGGTTGAAGAACAGTTGAAAGCCAAGGGTTTGATGCCTAAGAATGTCGATACCAGTGCTCTCGATGGAATGGTTGCTTTCCCAGGCGAACGACCCGCTGCAGAGGCATCTGCTGACGAACGCAAGCAATCTGCCCTCAATCGAATGAGCCAGCTAATCGATAAGCAAAATCAACGAAGAGCTTTGGATATTTATAAAACGCAAGCTTTGAACAATTTCGGGCCGCCGAAACGCCCGCTTGAGGATAGTGCTGTCTCTGGCATCGATATTCAAACCAAGCGTCAGAATATGATGGAGTTGAGTCGAGTAGGAGCTTCTAACGAACTAATGATGGAGTCGGTAGGTAACGCTCGTAAGAACGTTCAAAATATCTATCAGCACAATCCGTGGCTCGTTAGAATCCATATTCCACCGACGGGGGTCGATCGCGTAAAGAAGAGCCGAGAGCAACTCTCTGGGTATTATCTAGATGCTAGCGCGGATGTTTACAAAATGAAGACTCCGCCAAACGCGTCTAGCAACGACACGCGCCTTACCGATGCTGCAATAAAATATTGAATATTAGCTGGTTAGCTACGTTTGAGGACCATATTTGCTACCTATACACTGTTATCGATTTGTATGAAACTCATCCGGACAAGATCGATGAACATCGTTTCAGAAGCAATCTCAGAGAGGTGAAAGCAACGCTATCATATTATGGCTTTGCAGTTGATCGCGATGAACCAATGCGGATGGAGGATCTGGAGATGAAACCAGCTGCTGTCAGTGGTCGAGGATTACGAGGCGCCGGATATGTCAAGCGCATGCAGGACCTCCGAGACAAGGATGGACGCCCGATCAAGTATCACTCCAACCGAAGGTAGAACCTCGCGCAGCTAGAGGGCTCGGGAACCGCTTCTGCTCTTGCATACAAGCGGATTGGTACCAAGTTTGTGCATCTACCAAAGCTCAATGACGGTCTCCTCAAGGTTGTATACCCATACCGCTCGACAGTCGGTCCTCAGCGCAAGATTAGCGATGACCTAACAAACCTAATCAAGACCTTGGTATTCGATGCCAAGATCGATCAACAGCTCTACGACTCGATGTCCGTGGATGATCGACGAGTATTTCACGAGCTACTGCGTATCACACATACCCAACACGCGCTACGCGATCCAATCAAGGATCCTCGCGAGGTACTGCGGCAAGAGTACATCAAACTGAGAGGAGAGCTAATGCTCGGCAATGACAACCCGAGCCTGATCCGCGAACTCAAGTAAGTATTGATCGACATGTATTCAGCAAAGCTGATTTCGGATAACGATTTCAAGGAGGTTTTGGTTGCTATTGTATAGAAATATCATGATATTCATCAATACTAGACTCGTCGACACGAAGAAGCGTACCAGCGCAACCTAGAGGAGCTGAAATCGCTCATGGAGAAGTTGGTAGTGAAAGACCCGCCTACGGCTGATACTACGTTTAAAGCAGCTAAGCCAGGCGGTAGTGTATGGACATACACTGAACCCCAAAAAAAGCCGCATGTTTAAGCTGTAAGCTCTCTAAGCAGAGCAAGCTCTTTTTTTAGCTCCTCGATTTGACCTTATTGCTCTTGGATCGCTCGCACTAAAACCGATGTCAGGCTAGCTAGATCAATTCCCCATGGGTTAATTGGAAATCCTTCTTGATTTGAATCATCGTTAGCTCCGATATCAACTGCCTCTCGGACGATTTCGTATAATTCTTGCGCTATGAATCCTACATGAGAGGTACGCTCCTGTATCATAGTGAATTTCCTTGGCTTCATCTTCATAACTGTATTCAGGCCACATGGACAGTCTACAATGTTTGGCTTTAGCCTCTTGTCCGAAGCATTAGTGTAGCTACCACCTCGCACCGGGGTATATGATACCCAAATATAGTTAGCATCGCAGCTCCCTAGTCTGATAGCACCTACGGTCGAGTCAGAGCCAATGGCCCGGCTCCAATTGAAACGGTACCTAGCGAAGCCATCTCCGCCTCCCTTGATGTGCATGAAATTGTTGGTCCATATCTCTCCGCCAGAGTGTATGGTAGCTTCTGGCGATGTGACACCAACTCCCATTCGTCCAGAGTTGTTGAGGTAAGCAATAGTACTATTGTTTACCATGAGACGTAGAGGATTGCTCGTAGTAGTGCCGAGAGCAACGCCGTTAGATCCGCCAGCCACATCGTTGTAGATCTGTACCTCGAATTCGATAGGGGTCGATTGATCATTAGCTATGTGCATCGCGCGCTGCCAGCTACCGGATAGTAGATTAGCGCTTGATGTGATATCCATTTATGCGGTTGATGTAGATGATCCAAAACGGATATAACCTGCCTGAGTGATACGCATGCGTTCAGACATTGGTGATAATGCATTAGCTCCTGACCTTGTACTGATTGCAAAATCAGCCATTGAATATTGAGTACTCGTAGCGGTACAGTATAGATTAACGCTAGGGGTGTACGTTGTCATATCACTAGTACCTTCAATCGTGAACGATATTCCGGCCTGAGCACCAACAGTATTGCTTTGATTGCGAATACTAAGATTGAAATCGCTTGCCCTCGTTGTACTTGAAAACGTCGTCCCAGGCGTTATCGATAGAATATTCGTTTGCGGCGAGATTGGTACTCCTCCAATCGTGAGCGATGAACAGTTGAGCGCGCCATTGACATCTAGAAGGTAGCTGGTATTAATAGATGAGCCTCCGATATTGATGTTCCCGCTTGTGACCATGATCAGACGGTCTGACAAAGCATATTTGAGAAAGAACTGATTTGCTCCCGAGGTATTCGCTGACCCGCGAACACCCAATTCGGCCTGGTAGAAGCTCACAAAGTTCATGCTAGCTGCTGATGTAGTAGTGTCGTTTTGAATGACGAGAGACTTCGAGAGACCCGATCCAACTACTGAGAGGGATCTCAATCCGGTAATACCATATGAAGCATCAGCTACCAGCGCCTTGCTTGCCTCAACTGTTCCTTACTTTTGGCGTTTCGCAAATACCGATCAGCTGCTGATACACATAAACGGCAATCTAGCTATAGGTCAAGCTAGTATTAATACGGCCTATAAACTTGATGTATCTGGAGCTATTCGCGGGTCTAGCTTCGTTCAAGGAAGTACTACTTACGATCTCTCTCTTATTCCTCGACTATCACTAAGTACGTATGCCTTGCTCCATCTGGTAATAGCTCACGATAATGAGATTGACTGTCGATGTAGTACTATCATTCTGAATGACCAATCCTTTGCTAAAACAGAATTTATACTCAACGAACCTGGCGTTCCAGCCGATGTGATGTTAGGCTGTGCCGCGGTTTGTAGCGTACCTGTAATAGATGTGGCTATAAGCGATGCTGACGTACCAATCGATGTGCTATTAGGCTGAGCAGCGGTCTGTAGCGTGCCTGAAATCGATGCTGCAGCAATTGAATTGATTCCGGTCAGCGTTCGGTTAACACCGGTAAAAGAGAGATTGCCTCCAATAGTTAGTTCACTCAGTGTTCCTAGCGATGTGATATTGGGCTGTGCAGCGGTTTGTAGCGTACCAGTAGTCGAAGTAGCTGTAAGCGATGATAGGCCTCCGATTTGACCAGTAGGTCCGACGATAAGCGCTTTACTATTGCTTGCGGTACCAGGGCTCGCGCTTAGTAGTGAGAGGCTGCTAAGATCGACGTTAGGGCCGTTCAGCTTCATCGAGCTGCAACTGATCGAATTGATACCTGTTATATCGAGATTGGTATCAAGCACCAGGGCTGACATCGGACTAGCCACTCCCATCGTGATCGAGCTGAGATAACTCAACCGAGAGTCAGTCTTACTGAGATACAATGAATCAGCCATTTCAAGGCTTAGAACATCTGTGCCTACCGCATAGAAGGTTGGGTTAAAAATATTCGATTCTTGAGATGGTGGCCGAGCTGTGAAATCCATTTTTTGTTGGCGAGTTATATATCACTAGATATATACTTTCCACAATGGTTAATAGGATTGATAACTGGGGAGCCGCTCTCCCGAAAGAGTTCCGCTCAGACTCTCTCGGCGATGTTAAGCAACTCGGGATTAAAAAGCTCTTCCGCGGAATCATCCTAGCTCCCAGCAACGCCGGTAAGACGAATCTATGCTATCACATCGTCAAGAACGCACCAAACGTTTTTAGCCATCTGCATCTGATTGCACGCAACCCAGACCAGGATTTGTATAATTATATGAAGGAGAAACTTGCGGGATACATAACTGTCTATGACCCATCGACACCGCCAAGCGTCGATGATATCCAGAAGGATCCGCGAGGTGGTATTCAGCTCGTTATCATTGACGATTATTCATCAGACAAGAAGATCCAAAAAGACCTATTCAGTCATTACTTCATCAGAGGGCGCCACAAGCTGCTATCTACGCTGTTCCTGACGCATTCATGGTTTGCTACTGACAAACTTATAAGACTAAATAGCGAATATTTGTGGATTCTCAAAGCAAACAGCCGACGCGATCTGAAGATGGTCATCTCTGATTTCAGTCTGCCCGGTCTTACGCTCGAGCAGCTAATCCGAGCCTACAATGCAGCCAATAGAGAGAAAGGTCAGTGTGTGACGGTCGATAACGTTAGGAGCGTTCTAAGGTATAATTTCAACGAAAAGCCGATCTATCTAAATTAGCATTCGGCAAGAGGCGCGAGCCTCGAGCCAAAGGCTCTAAGCTTGCTTATTGAGCAAGGCTCTACCAGGGTAATAATTAATATCGACCGAATATTATAAATATTGACATATAAACAACCATGTCAAACATCATCATTCTCAGCTCGCAGCACATCGTCTCTAACGGTTACAACAACACCCTCCGCTATGAGTTCCCTGGCAGCAGCGTTAATTTTACTAACAGCGAATTGGCTATTCACTCAATCAACATGTACAACAGTCAATTCAATATCGATGCATCAGCATATGGAAACAATAGCTTCAAGCTTTCAATGCCCACAGGCAACACCTACAGTACTGTACAGATCAGACTTCCGAGCGGATACTACTCATATAGTGCAATAAACTCAGCTATGCAATCGGCTATGATCTCAGCAGGTGCGTATCTAATCAGCGCTGATGGCGATAACGTATTTTACGCCAATATCAGCGAAAACCCAACCTATTACTCGTGCCAAGTCGATCTATCGCCGGTTCCGACGAGCCTTCCCGCTGGATGGTCTCGCCCGCCTTCTGGTCTCTACTCGAGCGGTGGAACCGGCCTGCCGCTTGGATTCTCGTATGTCCCCAAGCTCGTTATCGATAACGAGGAGTTTGGCAAAATCATCGGTTTCCCACTCGGAACGACCCCCAGTCAGAGTCTATACACGCTTCAGTCTGTACTCTCTCCGATTCCGCCTCAGATCAATCCTGTCAGCTCATATCAGATGCAGTGTTCCCTAGTATCAAATCCATTTTGCATTCCAGACGATATTCTCACTACTTTCAACACAGCAGGAACGACTATCGGTCAGCTAGTAAGCTACCAGCCAAATGAGTTCTGTTGGGTCGATGTTCCCAACGGATCATATGCTAGCATCACTCTAACGATCGTTGATCAAGAGGGCAGGTTCGCTAAATTGAACGATACAAACATGCTGATCAGTCTGATCGTCCGGCAGAAACGCTCGTAGCGGGTTAAAAAAACAGTGAGGTTTTTTTTTTAACTATGACCAACGGAAGCTTCCAGTTCGCTTAGAGCTACCACCCTTGCGCATAGCGCGAAGGCGAGCCATCTTCGCCTTCATCTCGGGGGATCCCTTCGCTGGGTGGCTACGGCGAGAGGGTTTAGCCTCAGCAACGCCGATACCTGTAAATCGCTTCAGAGCGCCTCGGGCAACACCTACGAGAGCAGGGTATTTGCCTTGGCTCGCTACATACGCCGATCCCATGCTGGCGAGACCATCCGCGGCAGCGGACAGCGCAGGCTTGATTACAGGCCTCCAGGCACTCTTGATGCCGTTCCACACCTTACGCCAGATACTCGCTCCGTGCATACCAGAGCCGCTCTTGACCTCCATAGGGTATTCGATCTCGTGTTTGGTGATCTTGACTCGAGAGCCCTTGCCGGCCTTTTTAGCTCGCATTACCTTATCATATGATTCGGGGTGCAGATGTAGCGTTGCACCAGAGCCGGCTAGATCAGCCTTAGTCAGCGATAGGTTGCCAGTCTTGACCGCACTGCGAAGACGCTTTTCGGGGATTGAGTTCGAAATGGATAGTTCCTTGTACATCGTCGTTAATAGTATAGTTACGCAGGGATTTAAAATTTCAGAAAATTAATTATCGATTACGTCGATATCGTGATCAGTGAATCTATCCATTAGATGCATTTGCCCATGCTGCTTGGCGTATAACCATAACAGGCAGAAGATTCCGCAATATTCGTCCGATGAGCCTTGGATTTGCTTGTTGAAATATAGCAGATCGCCTAATACCTTCGGCGGTCCGACAGACATGCTATCAAAATAACTACCATCACACACAGCAGTCCAATGGCCGATTCTCGGGCTCGTACGCAGTAGGATAAGATATGATCCCTTCGAGGTGAGTGGCTTCCGGATCTCGGAAAGCTCGTATATGCCATCGATCCGGACTCCAATCCGCTTAGCGAGCGCGAGCAAGTTATGGTCTGAGGTAACGCCTTTAACAAACTCCAATCTCCAATTATAGTATCGCCAGTATAGACAAATTAAAGCCCCCGTAACCTGGACATCTTACGTTTTCAATCAACATATTTTGATCTCTCCAATGTCCAGCCAGCAATGGCTGTAGCCTCCGTCAAGAGATTTGAACACGAATGCGTATCGCGTGCTCGTTACACCTATTTACCCACTCTGATTGGTTTAAAATGCGTCTGTCGTTGGCCTCCTCCTTCACTGGCCCTCACAATTTGACTCCCTCAACCCACAACAAGCAGCTGACGATGACAAGCAACCTGTGCCTCCCTGCTACTGCTGGACCTGTATTACAGACTCCGTCCCGTGGTCGCCTCGATGGAGACCAAGTTCGAAGTGCCTGCACTGCCGTCAACACGAAAAGGCGTACCGAAGCTATTTAAAGGGCATATCTACCTGGGTTCGCGCCACTCGCCAGGATGCCGAAAAATTCTTCTGCGAGGACGGCAGTCTTAACCTCGGCGTGTTCCTACCTACGCACTTCGAAGCGTTCCAGCTGTGCCTTGCTTCCCTGGTGACGCACGCCGATTTTCTTCGCCAAGGTCTGCTACCGAAGCATGCTTTGCTTTCTTCCTACATCTTTCGCGATTCCAATGTCATGGCACGACTCTCCAGCATGCTGATTACCGGTTGCAGTACATGGATGCGCCCTACTGGTATACCCCCACACGTCGAGCTTTTTGAGCAGCACATGAAGACGCGACAGGCGCTGAACCATCTCCCGGATCTACTGCTGGACGGATTTGCTAAGCTACTGGACGAGAAATGCGTGAGTCAGCAGGTGCTTTTCCACAGCTAGATGCGCTAAGTGTGTGGCGTATTTGGTGGCTTGGCCACCCTGCTGCCGGATACCCGCCTTTTCGGGCGCTGCAGCCATCTGACTTCACGAAGACCAACCGCAAGATGTTTTCGGAATGGACGGTGGTGGTCCGACATATCGTCGCTGGTGTGGAGGCAAGTACAGGGGCGAGAATGCAGCGACCAACTTCACAACGTGAAGCCGACGATCTCTACGAACTCGGCATAGCTCATGTGCCGATGAAGCCGCCTACCCATGCGACGAAGCAACGGCCCGAGCGAGCAGTAACCACACTGCGACGAATCCGGCAGGCAATCCACGAGTCGAATCCGGAGGCGAGGCGTGTGCCATGAAGCGCACTAGAAGCACCAAATAGAGGTTAACAGCATTAACAAGGCGTTAGTCGTGATGGCGCAGCACATTAGCTCGTTCGATAGATGCTTGTTCGTCTTACCTCGCCGCCGTTCCCGTCGAAGATGCACGACAATGGGATCTGGCGCCCCGCAGAGTGAGTACTGCCCTGTAGTGATGAGAATATTAGCCAATCAGGCGACGTTCGTTATGCGTGTCACGACCCGGTTACGGGATCTGGACACAAGTCATTAATTATTTTTTTGTATGGACTATCTATATCAGCTGACATATACTTATCACCATGTCTGACACAACTCAATTAACATACGCTTATCTACTCCAGTCGGCTCTCAAGACCGAATCGGCTATCGATGTCAGCAAGGGCAAGACCATCTCGGTTGTCTATGATGGCAACCAGGGTTCTTACAACTCTGGCTTGATTAAGATTGATGCTACTTCTCAGCTTACCGGATCGCGTGGATTTGCTAGCCTCAAGAAGGCGTATCTCACCCTACCGTATGTGATTACCGCCAAATCGACTGGCACGGCGGATCTAAATGCGAAGACTATTCCTCGATTTGCATGTGCGCTCAAATGCAACGTTGCCAACGTTATTGACTCGCTGACGGTTGAACTTAACGGCAAAAAAGTAATCACTGAAATTGAGTACAAGGGCTTCTGGAACAATCTCCGTGCTATGACGGAACTTTCGCAGGACGAGGTAGCCAAGCATGGTGCTGACATGCATCTATATCCGGATACTTGGTCGAGCATCAACGTCACCAAAGCTGTTTCTGGTACTGGAGATGGCTATAGCAACAATCAAATTGGTATTGAAGCCAAGCTTGATAACACTCTCTCGCAAACACAGGAGCCGTATGCTCACAATCCTGGATTTTTCAAGCGCGCGCTGAATACTCCTCCTCAAATCGACTCGACGGAGGCAACCGGATCTTTCTCTTGGGCTTCCATGGGAACTACTGCTAGCAAGCAAATTCTACAGGAGAATGGTCGTGGTTGTTTTAGGGAGTCTGATGCTACGTCGTATGGAGTTGATAAGGTCGTTGGTAAGTGGTTTCACATGCTTAAGATCAGCACTCGTCGATTTGCATCCGATTTTTAAGGAGCCAGATCTATGCTGTAACCCGCAGTTGAAGATCCGTCTTCGTATCGATGCTGGTACGGTTGCTGTATCTGGCAACGTGAATCAAATGAAGCTTGATTCTGTCACCATGACCTCTGGTCAGACGGTTCCTATCATGATTACAAGTGCTGCTGCGGCTAATCCCATGAATGATGTGCTGACTACTGCTAGTTCTCAGCTGTCGTTCTCGTTCGGCCCGCTTGGAAATGCATTTACTCCGACTGCTTCGGTCGGTGAGCATCTCCCATACACGAACTCGAGGCTCCACATTCCGTTCTACGCGCTCAAGAACCCCGCGCCAATCATCCAGAAGCCGATCAAGACTGTTCGCTACCTTGATTGCTTTGCACAAATGTTCCGCAAAGCCGCTGGAGTGTCTCCTGATACCCCCACTGGCCAGCCGAATGCTCCGTTCGATCTCAACATCTCTGGATACAAGAAGAATGTGAAGTAAGCTTTGATCCCTTTCAGTGAAACATCGGCTGGACACTTCGTATCGCTTAGTGGTACGCCTCAGTATCAATCGCCGTTTGATTCTGCACCGTGGACCTGTATGCCTGGCGCTTCCATTCGTAATTTCCAGGTAACCATTGGTAATACCAACGTCTTCGACAAAAGCCAGGAGTACGATTTTGAGTCGTTCAAGCATGAGTTCAGCAAGCTAGGCGCCATCAACGGAGATTTGAATCAGAAGGTCAGCAATGGTCTGATTGACTCGGTTCAGTGATCGATGGCTCAGCGCATTCTCGTAGCCGATACGTCTCGTCTCACCCAGAAGGATGTACCTCAGGCGATTCAGGTCAGCGGCATCAACGGCTCGGCTACTGGCATGGATCTTCTCGTACTGGTCGTATACGAGCGTGAGCTTGAGATCGACCGTCTCACGGGAGAGGTCCACAGAACCGATTAAGCATCTCTCGTTGAATTGAATTTATTTTAATAAGCGAGCTTAGAGCCTTTGGCTCTAAGCTTGCGCCTCTTGCCGTCAGGATAATAATTACGATGTGGCCTAGAATTCCATTGCACTAGTCGATTGACACCTGAAACTGAATAATTTGGCAAATGGGTTCTTGTAAGTCCACTCTCATAATTGATTAATTTATATATTTTCAAAAGAATCATGTGGATATCTATATAGATAGATAACAATGAGTACATTAAATTTTGGCAAGCACAAATCGAAGACTATTGAGGAGGTATACGAGTCTGACCCTGGATACTGCCGCTGGCTATCGAATCAAAAAGGTCTCGTTGCACATAGTAGTGACTTTGCCAAATTCCTAGCCCAAAAATTTGGCAATGACGATGGATCGTATGTGATGTCCTTCGGTAAGTATAAGTCGAAGACTATTAAACAGATCCAAGCCATTGATGCTAAATACCTTGAATGGTTGAGCAAGAATGAATTCGTTCAGACCAAGATGCCTAAGCTGAAAGCAGAAGTTGATGAACTTCTAAAGTAAGCTTGTGTCTAATTTTTGTCTTAAAAGTATTGACATCATTTATGATTAAAATAGAGATGTCGCTCACATTTGAGTAAACTGCTGATGCTTACGCGATCGACAGTGTTGTGATCGGTTTGAACTTCGATATGAAACCCGACATCCACAATCAATACGCTCTGCGCTATGATCTTGAATCTCTTCCTTTGTTCTAAGTGCCGCTTGCTTATTAATAACACCTTGAGTTGAGTCAATTGCAAGCTGTTCAAAAGACAACAGACTTTTTCGATTTGGTATTTCATGCTCACTAATCAGTGAAATTGTAAAGTTCTCAACACCATGCTCTCGGAAATGGTAGTAAATAGCTGTTTTGCTAATATCTACACCATTAATCCAACGCCTAAATTTACATTTGTGCTCCGAAAATCGTTGCCATAATGGTTTTACAGTACTCCCAATATATACTATTGAATCATCAGCGTTGGAAATCTTGTAGATGCGACCGATCATGGTTGTTGGTTGGTTGCTGCAGTGTATGCTCTTAGGGTTTATATACTTAAGATTTATCTCTTAAGATAGAATGTTTTTTATTTGTGAGCTATTGAGAAGATGTTTGGACACCGTGCGAGAAGGAGGAGGGTTATTTTAATCTAATGAGATAAGAAGTGTTCTGCAGAGTTTTAAAGAGAAGAACAGAAATTGGGTAAGCTGGGGTTGTGGTTAGAGGAATGGGTCTCTGAGTGTTCTTATATCGGGAGAAAATGAGAGTGGACACAATGACCCGTTCCGGGTATATACTGCCGCAGCTTGAGATTACTTTGAACTCGTTGCTGTGGCGCCGGGAGTCCGCCTCTGTGCTGACCCAGTTTCCGGCCGGGCGCTTCGCGGAGAGGCTCTTCTTCACGACGTCCCTGCTCCACCGTATCCTCGACCGGGCGCGGCGTGGCGACATCCCCATTCAAGGGCCGGTTGCCACGGGGCCAGCCTGGGATGACCTCGCAGAGAGACTCATGTTCGCGCTCAACACGTCGTTTGATGCAACCCGGCTGGACACCCCATTCTACCTGGTCCATGGTTGGGATGCCAAGAGTACGGTCTCAGCTATGCTGGGGCCTAAACCTTCCAGTGTCCCTGAACGGACCGCGTATGAGTGGCGAAGGAAACTCCAGCGAGACTACAGCTACGCTCGGGCATGTGCAGCAGACCTCCAGAGGAAGGCCAAACGGGCTCGCTCGGAAGAGCAGACCCGGAAGTGGAACGAGCTGTCAGATCGGCTCAAGGCAGGTTTCAACGTTGGGGATGCAGTCTGGCTGTACATCCCAAAAGTGCAGCCAGGTCTGAGTCGCAAGTTGGTCCAGTTGTGGCATGGGTTGACGAGTTCCGGGTGAGGCTCAAGGTCGAGGACACGGGTTACCGCGTAAACCCTTGGGTTCCCATCAGTCGGCTGAAACCCCGGGCGTTGTATCCCAGACGGCCTATAATCCAACCGGAGATCGAAGACGACGATGACTTCGACACAGCGCTCCTTCCCTAGGACAGTTGGGAAGCGGGCAACGAGAATGACGAGTACGAAGTGGAGAAGATCATGGATCTCAGTTGGAACAAGTGTACACGGACGTCCGAACGGGCACGAGAGTATCTCATCAAATGGAAGGGATATGATGAGCCTGAATGGATACCGATGGCACAGCTGAATTGCGGAGCGCTCTTGTATGAGTTCAATCAAGGGGCGAAAGCCCGAGCGCGTTTCCAAGCCATGCAGGCTGGGGACGACCACCCTAGCATACAATAGTTGGGAGTGGTCAAGTCCGAATGGGGCGATCCCAATTGGGAGTATTGATCCCAGTTGGAAATTCCCAGACGGAGACCCGAAATTCCTGGATGTGAATGTGTGAACTACGGAGAATTGATTGTGAATTTGTATGGAGCGGATCTACGATGGAGTTGTGACTATGGAGAGTAACCCGAGCGAGATTGGAGTTTTCGATGACGAGTGTATGAGGTTGACTATGCTGGCCTGAAGGAGATGCCAAAGCGGCAAGAGAGGAACAAAACCGCGCCCAAAAGTTGAACCGACCTGGATAACCTGACCGACGAAGGATACGATGAAGACAGCGAAGACATTAACGGTGATTGTGGAATTAGAGTGTTACGCTACGGATATGCAACTACATCCAGGACTGTTGTGGATGCTGGATGGGATGACCTCACTGGAACTTGGTCGCGACCCAGTTGTCGACGCGCTCGTGCTCATGGAGCAGCTTCTTGTCAACGATATTGGCTGGGACGTGCACCAGACGCTCGTCATCCGTGCAGGTACTCCACTGAGTCCGGCCGGGGTCTTCGAGTTCGGCCCTCGCGATCTGGTCAGCCAGGGTGTAACGCGTGCCATCGACCTTCTTGGTTGACTCGTCGACCAGGTACATGTAGCAGATCTTGCACGGGTACAACCAGAATCCAGGCTCCCAGACCATCGTTTTCGGCATGCCGGCCTTGATCAGACGCTTGATTCCGGCCTCGAAGGTCCGCGCAACCCCGTCGTGGAACGCCTGGCGCTTGCGGTGGAGGTCTTGAGCCCGTTCGTAGATCGTGAGGTCGTCACACTTCTCGTCGTCTTCAGGCTTGGTCTTCATCATGAACCAGTACAGGATGTGCCAGAAGGCTGGAAGGTGATCCTTCATGTACTCCACATGTTGGTCCAGAATGTGGATCACAGGTAGGGATAGGTGGCCCCGGCGGTGGAAGTACAGGACCTTGACCCGCTTGTTGAACATCTCCAGCCAGGGTTCCTTCGCGACCAGGGCCGCATACTCATCTTCGACTGAGGGCCAACGCCTGGCCAAGAACTTGGTCTCGGGTTGATGGGGCGCGTAGTTCGGGAAGCCCGGGGTCTGCCCTTCGATACCACCCTTCTTGGGAGCAAACCGAGAGCCAATGCCGCGACTACGCCACGAGACAATATCTCCGGACGGGACCTCGATGATCGCCAACTCTTCGGCAGTCAGGTCCTCATAGGACTTCAGAGCCAGGGGCGACTTGCCGCCCTCCCGTTTGGTTTTCGACGTACGACTGCGTTTCTTCGGATTTTTCTTGGACGATGTCCGATCGGGCTTGTCTTTCAACGCAAACTTGGACCGAGGGGACTGGGGTGTTTTCTGGGACGACAACCGGGGAGGCCGACGCTGTGACGAAGAAGATGATTGGAGCTCGTCCTCAGATGAGCTGTCCGAGGATGACTCGACGCGGTTCCGCTTAGGCTTGCGCTTGGCCGGCTGTTCCTCTTCCTCGCTGCTGCTCGAAGAGCTGCTTTCCTCGACGGACTCCGCCTTGGAGGGCCCATCCGCGCTCTTCCCAGATGAAGATGCCTTGGCCTTGCCCTCGTAGTCGGAGTCACTGGAGTCATCGCTTTCACTGGAGTCGTCGACTTCGACGATTTCCATCTCGGCAGCAGCGTCCTCGGCCAGGTTGCGTAGTGGCGGAAACTCCTCCGGATACATACCCGACCGGGACGACCCTGGAGCATGACCTCGGCCATCTTGTAGAAGGTCTCGGGGGCATGACGCGTCCAGAGAGTGTCGTCCAGGGTGCCATGATACATCATCTTGACTAGCATCTCCAGCAACCAAGGCTTGGGGAAATACTGGTGGGCCGGACGGTCCTGACGGGGGATGTCCAAGGTCTCTTCGTACCCATTTTCCATCCGCATGACAAACTGGGCATCCAGCCGGGCATCCGACCAAGAGACGAACTCCGGCAGGGATGCAGCACAGTCGGAAATCAGACGCTTGAAGTCCGTCTGGGGCGGCAGAGGGAGCACATCAGACCCCGGATGGACCGGGGGTCGCATTTGGACGTACACCGGCCCACCCTTGCTGGAAAGCTCGGCCATACCACGTGGACATGACCCCGAACGTGATCCCCTGGACGTACGCCGCTTGGACTTGGACGGAGACCCATCCGCAGGGGAAGTCCGAGCGGGGAGGAGTGGGTGGATTGTCCTCCGACTTCTCTTCACGATCCCCATCCTGGCCTCCGTTGCCATCGCCTGCCTGGTAGTTGTCGTCATCGTCCTCGACGTCCGGGTCAACTGGGCCCGGATAGGGCGGGATCATCCTGAACGGACGGTCGGCAGCCTCGACGGTGATGTTGGTGACCCAGTGTGCGGGAGGAATGGACCCCCGTTGGAAATGCCGAAGCAGGCGCACCAGCCTAGGCCAACGACCGCGAGTAGCAGCCCCACCTCGGTTGAGGAACTGCATCAGCCGGTCGGCGTCGAATGCGGCCTCCTGGCCGGAGATACGAAGACGTTGGACGGCCAAGATCGCGCGCTCGAGCTTGGCCTCAGCCTCGGTGACCTTGTTGCGTTGCGCGTTTTCTTCCACCAGATGGTTCTGCGCCGCGAGCGCGAAATCTCTCTCCAGCTGGGCTTGGAGCTATTTCCGGAGTGCAGCCACTTCCCGCTGGTGATACATCTGCAAGAAGCGATGTGCGTCGAGGAGCTTGTCGTACCCCTGCTGCAGGGTGGCGCCCCCGCCGGGAGATACCTCACCTGTCGTGAAGGTTCCCTCAGAGCTCCACGACGCGACAGGTCTCTCACTGTGCTCTCTTGCGGTCGGCGACCTTCCAGCCGACTGCGCACCTGCCTCCGATGCCTCTTGGATCGTTAGCCCGTCATTGGAAGTAGTACTCCCGGGTGGCGGCACCATTGTGGAGTAGCGGCCTCACAGAAATCGCGGAGTTCGTCCTCGCACAAACCCGACGCGTCCAATCTGCGGTCGCGACGGGCAATTTCCCGGATCTTGAGTAACGTATCTTCGAATATAGAGCCCAAGTCTTCGCAAGCTTCAGAGTTGGGGGGTTGAGTGGACGCTTGTTCCTTGTATTAGGGCGTCGGTTGTTCCTTGGGCGTGCGGACTTATCGGGCCGGCGTTTCCTGGGGCTTGTTGCGTGGCATTATCGGGCCGGCGCGGTGTCTTGTGCACAGCGGTTATCAGGCCGTGCGGTCCTTCGTCTAAGCTGCGCGTTATCGAGCGCCTCCTAACCGGCATACGTTTTGCGTGCCTTTGTTTCCGACACGGGGTTTGACGGGGGTGAGTGTCCGAGCCAGCGAGCGACGGGGGGCCGCGTATTCCTTGCGGCTCTGCTTGCCGACGCTTGGTGGTTCGTAAGAACCTGGCGATCTTCCGGAGGGGAGAGGTCTGAGTGGTTCAGAGAAATTTCGGGACTGAGTCCTTACCCTATCCTATGTCCTTGCTACTGGCTACTCTGTACTACCGCTTGCTAAGCCTACCGCTCTGTACCTATCCTAACTTATGTCGTGCTTGCGCTACCGCTCTTCAACCTGATTTGCGCAACGTAATCACAACTTGAGCTCGACGGGATTTCCTCGATGGGGTTTTCTCGACGGGGTTTAGGGTTGACGGGTTTTTGGGGTCGACGCGGTTTGCATGACCGGGCGTATGAACCGGCTCGTCGAATCAGCCAGAATTAGCCTGATTCCATCGCCGGTATGCGTGTCACACGACCCATCATCCTGTTAACCTCTCTGGCCATTCCGACGCGTCGTATTCCTTCCGTCTCGTCGGCTGCCGTCTTTCCCGGCACTTCCCGTCACTCGTTCCCTGGCGCGACATTTCGTGGGGTGCTATTCCACAGTTCTATTACGCCAAATTGCCTTTTTACAAGTGATCTACCTTTTCTTTTATAAATTTCATAAATTTTAAGTATGTTGCTGCATCTTTCGAATGGTAGGAGCCAGTGAAGACGACTCTGCAGCAATAATAGTGTAGCCTTGTCGGCCGCCAGCTCCCAACGCGTTCCTCCGGGTGTTACTCATTCCAAAATGCACTAGCATACCCTCGTGGCGAACGCATCCTCTGTGCTCACGATGACACTGTAACCAACTCAATCCGTCTTAATTTCTGATGTCGGGTTTGAAAATAATACATTATCAGCACTTAGAGATTCCATATTTGACGAGTTTTGGCGAGATATGGTTAGGACCCGCATCCAGAAGGGATGGACAGAGCTCGGAAAAATAATTATTTTATTTATTGAGTGGGTCAACTCGCGTCAATAAATAATTGGGCAATAAACTATTGATCATCAAGTAAAATGGAAAAAGTAATGACTAGGTCATGACCCAATGACCTGGTATCCGCAGATACAGCCGTTCTTTGGGCTGTTACCTGCGGGTATCAGCGTTTGGGTCATGGCCTACCGAAATACCACGCGCTCAGGCAAATAATATTGAGGTATTTGCTGCAGACTCTGCGCCGTCCATAATATTAAGGTATTTGCTGCAAACTCTGCAGAGTGAACTCGCACCCGTCCATGCGGATCAGATGACATGAAGGAGACCCACGATGCGCGCCCTATGCTTATGTCTACGTCCAAGCACCGCGCTCTGCGGAAGCAGAGCACGCGCTCCTGGTGCTCGCTCCGCGCCGACGTCTGGGGCACCTACACTACCGCACGTCGTCCAAGCCGTCTGCGTGCTGGTGCTCATCACTGTCAACGTGGAGCTGTCCATGGCCTCGCCGATCGGCGCCGAGCGTACGCTGAAGCTGAGGTGGCGGAATGGAAAACTGACACATTCTCCCAATACTGACCAGTGTGTGGTTGTTGTTGTTAGTGTGTGTGGACGCAACGGTGACATCGTCTGGCTGGTACGAGGTGTCCCTGTATGTGTCGAGGGCACTGTTCACGGTGGAGTAGCCTCTCCAGTTCTGATCGTGTCTTGAGATCGATCCCCGCGCGCACTTGAGACGCACGAAATCCTGCTCATTGTTGGGGACTACAAGAATGTGGCCGAGAACGCGCTGGCCCAAGGATTCGACGGCGTCGAGTTCCACTGCGCCAATGTATACCTCATTAAGCAGCTCATTCAGGACGGCATCAATGACCGTACGGACGAGTACGGCGGGTCGGTGGAGAACTGCGCGCTTCCCGTTCGAAGCTCTGGACCCGATTCTCTAGGTTGTAGACTCGGGTCGAGTCGGCATTCGACTGACCCCGTACGGCATAAACTTCTGCCAGTTCAAGTCCGACCCCGTCGACTTGTACGGCCCCGTGCTCAAGTGACTTGATGCCTACCACCTGGGCTACTCCCACCTGATCGAGCCGCACGCGTTCGAGTTGCACGAGAACCCGAACGTGCCCACGGACTGATGCATGGTCTGCACCTCCCGCGAGATCTGTGACGGCGTGATGCTGACAGGCTCGGGCTACGACGACGCATCGATCATCAAGACCATGAAGTGGATGTTTTGGCCCATGTATTTTGATTGAGCTCGTCGTTTTACTCCAGTTCTTAAGCAGTACGTGGTTCACCGCGAGGTAGGGAAGAACTGGAGCGTACAAACGGACGGCGTCATCACATGCACCAGTAACTGCTGATGCAGCAAGCAGCTCGCGAGCATCAACGGCGAGTGCATCGACACGCACCACAACGACGTCGGTTCTGTCGTCCAGATTCGTGTCGTTGAAAGCTGTGGAGGAGATGCACGGTGGCATCATAGTGCTGCTCACGGAGGCCGTCATGCGCAGCGAGAAGGTAGGTAAGATCAATTTAGAGAACGTGAGGATACATCCATGATGGAAAAACTAAATGAAGCTAACACTCAGATCGTTCTCTTGCTACGTAGGTGCTTCGAGAATGCGTCGATACTTCGTTTCCCTTGATCTGTGACAGCGTTTTGAGCGCGCTTTCAATGGATAGACCACGATTAACTAGTGAACGTACATATTTGATCACATAGTGTCGTCTTGAGTAAAACTTGGCTTCTTTTGACGATGAACGCCACTTGCAGCCGTAGGTTTGATCAAGGTACTCGATGGATGGGTGAGTTGATAACCCGACATGCCATTCCGTCCACAGCTCACTAACAGTGCTGATGCCTCTGCTCATTGAATGCTGTGGTATGGTAGTGCTTGCTGGATTGCGAATCACGTCGCTGGTGGTGCTGTCGGGGACGTCGCTGCGTGCAGGCTCAGAAGCTCCGATATTCAGGGTAGGATTAGCTACTGGCATCAATTAGAAACTCATTTATTCACGTAATAAAGAGGTGAGGTTGCTGTTGGTCTCAGAGAGTAGCCGTGCAATTTCTACATGTCGAGTCTCTATGCCTTGCATTACTCCTGTGTGTTGTCTCGAAATTTGCTCGGATAGCAACGGCATGGCGACTTGAAGTTGCATCTCTAGCGGCGGTTTAGCGCTTGCTGCTTCTGCTAGTGCTTGCGTCCGAACGCGATAAAATGCCTCCCCCAAAATGTGATGGTAGCTAATTCGAGTAGGAAGCAGGTCGAACAGGACAGCACAGTCTTGCAGAAATACGACTCGAAGGTATTGTAGCAATTCTAGAAAACCCGCGCTCTCACAGACACTGCTGCCGCATACGAGCGGATTGAGACTCCCGAGCGCTTCCCCATGTTGATGATGTTGTGTTCCTTGTGTCTAGTGCTTTATGATTATCTCCGAATGAAAACAGCTGAAACCGATATTTCGATTAGGTCCTAAATTTGGTGTTGACTCGGGTCAGGACCCAAACTATAGCAATCGTGATACTCATAAAGTAAATCACTAATCGGCTACCTCCGCTCGTTATACGACCACTACACGTTCTCTCTTGCCAGTCTTGAGTGCGCCCGCTATAAGCTCAGCGTCCCAAAGCTTCCGTTGAGCTCCAGCATCACCAACGTCTCGAGAGTCGTTGGGTGCAAGATTTGCCGGCGGTCGGTCAGGACTAATCCCGTCCTCGCGAATAAATGTTCAATGTCGGTAGAATCCAGCGAAGGTCGATGAGCGTGAAAGCGTATTGCTTTTCACCCGGAATAGCCTCTCTGCAAAAGAGAGATTCTCGCCCTCTTCATCGTCACTTGCATCACTCTCTTCTCTCTACGAAATCGTGAGAGTGATCGTCGACAGCAGTACCAACGAACGAGTCGAGGGTTCTTGGATGCACTGCTCGGATCTCGTACTTCGAGAGGTATGATGTGTTGTGGTCACGTCGGAGGTGCATAAACGTTCTAGAATCTGAGAAATACTGATTATTGGGGTCGACCTGTAACGGGCCAGGTGTGTGTCCGTTACTAGCTTACACGTAGCGGTGAGGAAGCATAGTTTAGACTCGGATTTAGTGAGACCAAGCAGTCAATCTTGGGTAAAATCAACTCTGTTTTATGTAAGGACCAGGGCGGTTACCCCTGGTCTCATGTGAGCCACTCAAATGCACTTCATCGGCCCGTTCAAGGTGAGCAAGGTCCTCGGCGACGCGTACACACTGGACATCCCGTCGTCGCTGCGTCTTCACCCGACTTTCTACGTCGGGCACCTCAAACGATATCATCCTGCCGATATTCCGACCTCTGATCACCAGGATTCACTGGCGGGTAATGTACCCGAGACTACTCGCGACACCAACACCCATCACCCAAGCCTGTACCGTCGCGATGGTCCTCCTCCGATTGTCGACTCGGCGGGTGAAGCGCGCTGGATTGTGGACCGCATCGTTCACCACGAGGACCCATCTCGTGCAAACGGGCGTGGGCGTAATCCAGTCCGAGCTCCTCGTGCGATCCCAGCCGCGCGACGTTACCGAGTACGCTGGCTTGGGTTTCCACCTGACGAGGACACGTGGGAGATGCGTGCAGCTCTTCTTCGGGATGTCCCCGATGTTGTTCATGACTATGAGGCGAAGGTCGCCGCTGCTGAAGGGACCACGGAGCTCCCGCGGAAGCTGGAGCCTTAAGTGAGCGTGATGATGGAAGTGGACCCCCACCGCAAGCTCGCGGTGGCGTTCACCGCGAAGACTAAGAAGAAAACCCGACGACGACCGCCGGACTCGAACCGGTGACCTCCACCTTAGTGGCGCAGCTTTCGACCATTGCGCTAGCTGGACTTCGAGTCCCCACGACGACGCGCGGACCTGATCAAGCTTGGAGCGACTGCGCATGGCAATGGCAAGGAGGATTCGCGTGGGGATCGAACCCACGCGTCACAGCTCAGCACGGTGAGCGCTTGCCCACAACGCCGCTCCACAGATGATTGCCGGTGTCGAAGATGTCCAACCTGGTCTCGCTGCCACATCGTTTCGAGTCTACGGTTACGCGACTCTTCGCCGGGAGTTACTTCGAAGGGTCGTCGCAAAAAGCCACGCCACGCTGATCGCCATCCTGTGTCTCGACACTCGCCGGGTCTCCGCTCTGTGTGCATCACAGTTGCGCTTGTCGTCAAGCTTTGGTATCGCTTCCCATGCTGCGTCGTTTCCACGACCGCCGTCCATTCGGGTGTCCGTGGATGTCCGCAGCCACTTGGGGCGCTGCGCGTTGCTTCGGCGTGTGCGCCGACGAGATCTCTTGGTGTGTGTAAGCTTGCTGCGCCTGCGTCGTCCTGTGTCGCTCGGTAGCACGAGCGCCGTCCCTCCGCCGCCTCGGTCGACCATGGTGTTCTTCGGGTGTTCTTTCGGAAATGTGTCTTTTGCGCTTACGCAACGTAAGCGCAACTTCGAGAGGGGGGGGGGGGGTGATGTAATGGGCCCCATTTACATAAGTAGGTAGATTGACAGTACATAAAGTAGTTAAGTCAGTACACGGCTAGCGTGTACGGACGGTCATCGTGATTGGCTCAATTGGGGGAGCCAGACCCCATTTCAGCCAATCAGCTTGTTGGCACCGAGGGTGGTCACGGCGGAGGAGCGGATGCCTTCGGTAGACAGTAACACACGGTCACCCGTGCGAAATGAAGTCTTGTTCTTGCGTCCACGCTTGTCTGCATTCTCCTTCTGCCGGTCCACTGCGGCTTGCAGTGCGTCTCGCACAAACGTGTGATTGCTTGATGCTGCTCACAAACTCGGAAACCACCAAGTGATCTGTGGGACTCGCCGAGAACTTCGGTGCATAGTTGGCGGTAGTAGCTGGTTGCTGGATCGTCGCTGGAGCGCCAGCGGGGTCGATCGGAGTTCGCTTTGTCCAGTCTGCGAGCGGCGTCACCGCTCGCAGACTGGACAAAATTTGCGCTTGATTCAGCGTGGCGACGCCGGTGAATTGACGGGCGACGGCTCCGCCGGCGTGGTGAGTCTTCAGCGGTAGCTCCTCCCCCACCAAGCGTAGAAACACGAGCCTCCGTGTGTTGGCCTACGGCAAGCATGGCGGGTACGCGCGGGTGGCGCGCGGAGTTCACGAAGAACGGAGTCATGCCCATCGACGAGTGCTCGGCGTTGTTCAGAGCGAACTCGGTCAGGGGCAGGAAAGCGCTCCACCTCGGGAACGACGTAGCGTAGCTGCGGAGCACGTCTTCGACGACGCGGTGGACGCGTTCTGTAACGGGGTTACACGAGAGTTACCCGAAGGGTTACGAAGTGGGTACACACTGTCTAACCTAAATCAGTAGGAGAATCAGTACATGGCTTCAGAGCCACTGATTATGCATATGACTAGGGTTCACTATGCTAGATAGTGAACCGGATACATTTACACCGTAGGCGGCTTTGCCGCAATAAATGGAAATACATTCAGTTTGAGATTTATACACTTAAGAGTTAAGGGTTGACTCTTGGAGTCCGTAAGGCACCAACTCCTGCATCCAACACCGATCGCCCATTCGACGTCGTTCACGCGGATTTGGTGGGGCCATTTACTGGGGACTTCTACTGCTTGACGGTGATTGAACAGCAATTTCGCTAGTTAGAGGTCCTGATGCAGCGCGGCAAGACCTCGGCAACTACGGCTTCGAGCTTTGAGCGCGTGTGGCTCTGCCGTTATCCTCGCCCAAAACTGGTCGTGCATGACCAAGGACCTGAATTCACGGGAGACGAGTTCCAGCTGCTATTGACCCCGATGGCGATCAAGGACAAACCGATCACCGCAAAGAACCCGCAGGCCAACGCGATCTGCGAGCGCGTGCACTTGGAAATTATGAACATCCTTCGCGTACGCCCGGACCTGCATGATCAGCTGGAAGTCGCCCTCAACTATTCTGCCTACGCCATATGGGCCAGCTATCACTCCGTACTTCGAGCTTCCCCCGCTCCATTGATGTTTGGCGAGGACATGATCACGCGCGAGTTGCATTTCGCCAACTGGAACTTCCACTCAAAGCAGCGATTCATGGCCATCATGCAGGACAACGATCGTGAAACTATGCGGCGACTGCAGCACTTCTATCGTGTAGGTGACAACGTCATGCTCCGTGCCCCTGCTCGTGAAAGGAAGAAAACCGACCCAGTCGCCAAGGGCCCGTTCGTCGTGAAGGCTGTCTACGACAACGGCATTGTGCTCCTCGACACTGGATCAAGCGAGTACCGAGTCAACATCAGGCGAATCTTCCCGTGTTGATTTAACAGCACTGACATCCTGGTATGAGGGATAATGACAACTCCTTCTGCACCCTGTCGACACTAGCGCCTGTCCTCCCTGGCGTAAGGGTTGACTTCATCTGGGTTTCGTTCTGGGTTCGTTTGAACCCTTGCTTTGGGTACACACGGTGCCTTCAAGGCGCTACATGAGTAGTCTAGCTGCTAGGAGATGCCAGGAGTAACTTCATTCAATCAATCAGTTCTCAATTCGACTCACAGGACTCAAGCGGCTTGGCAGGGCGACAACTTGTAGACGCGTAAACAGCTTGGCCTTGTCGCTCATTTTAGGAGGAGGGGGGCTCGAACGTTGTCGACAAAATGCGAAGAGAGAGTTTGTGGTTGATACCGACTCGGTATCAACCACAATGAAAAAATCGTAATCTCACTGACAGAGACGGCACTGCTTAGATCACCATTCATATGCTGTCGATCGCCAGCAATGTTGTCTGATCGAAGTCAATCCCAAGATATGTTGCTCACGGGAGGTGATATCGTTCCCCGCTAACTGGCAGTTATTAATAGTAACTGCAGCGAGGCTATTTACAAATTCCTATATTAGCCGTACAGATGCTAAAACCAAAAACGGGCTGCTGGTACAGAAGTATGCTTTTGGGATCGATTTGCATATTTTGACAAGCGTTGGTACTTGTTAGCATAGTTCGTATGGGCTTCCTGTTTGGAGCCCCAGACAAGAACTGCTTCGCGAGCGTACTGCGCTGTCGATAGCTCCACCAGCTCTGAAGGCAAGTCGACCACAACAGTGCAATACTTGTACTCACTGTCATAAGCTGCATACTAAGACGTAAGCACGATTTTACATCCGCTTAGGTTGTCATCGATCCTCTTTGGAAGATCATCGATCCGCTTCGGTAGTGTCATCGATCAGTTTGGTTAGATCATCAATCACTTGTGTCGAGCATTCGTAAGACAGTTTGACGACAACTCAAATCTAGTGATTTGATTCGCGAATAGTACGACTTGCCAATTCTGTTGGCACTGCCAGGCGCAGAGTGCTCGCAGGTTCTGCTAGGAAGGCCCGCGTTCCTCTTCGCTACTCTTTTTGATGCATTTCGTTGCACTTCGTATCCTGACTAATATCGGGCGCAGCATAGTAGTGGTAGTAACGATTGGCGGTTCGATAGAACTGTGCGGAGGAGCGCTGCGACACCAACAAACTCCCTCTACATATTTAAAAGACCACGGCGAGCTTAGATCGTTTAGATTTCCTAGTACTACAGTAGCAGGCCGAGAAAACTGGTAAGCGCCTTCAGCCGGGCTGATCAATTACTTTAGCTTTGGCATTTTTCATGTATTCCCGAGAAGTTTCGCCGCTCATTTGACTCTTAGAGGCCCTCACGTCGTTTTGTAGTTATTTGTTTGCGACACCACCAACAGCTTACCTACACGTGGCCGCGGGTGAGGTCGGTGGTGTCCACTACCGACGTAGGTGGAGCTGCAGCAGTGTGCGCCTCCGTGAGTAAGGTAGCCAAGCAAACCGCAACAAATACAAATACAAATACAAATACCAAGACTGGCTGACGCTGCCTTGTTGCTACTACAAAACAGTTCATTTCATGACTTTGGTAAGATCCCATAATGTATTGATTGTCTACTCCCTCGCGTCCTCCGACAACGCCTCGGTGCGGAGCATGTGTGCGCGCTCGTCGTGCACTGCTTCGCTCGGAGGCGTCCTCAGAGGACACGACAGGGTTCGTGGGCCGCACTACCGGAGGAAGAGGGGCTCTATTTGGTTATGCATTAACTAGAATTCACTATAAAGCCCTGAACGTTTTGTTTGTCAAGCTGGGCTAATGGTTCGGGTGCATTTATTTCTTAACCATTCTCAAACAAGCGTGTACATTGTAGTTGGCAGTAGGGCCGCACTACCGACTACATGTTCGTGCTTGTGAGCGCCTTATTTCGTCGGCTCGACTGTAGGTGGCACGAGCAATTCAAAAACGGCAAAGCGGTTGTCCTCGGGTTCCTACATGCTCAACGGAGGAACGCACGCAACGACACTATCCTCTGAAAGTTTTGGCCAATCGCATGGTGCAAATTGTTGTCCGACAAACTGTCTTACGTTTTGACGGACAAAATACAATGTAGCCACTGGTATACTAAAACCAAGATGTAGCCAAAATGCGTTGATTGCAAAACGTAAGACGCTTTGTCTTACGGTAGGCTCTCTGGGGCTAAGTATCGTCTTACGAAAGATCATCAATCTGCTTGGGTAGATCATGGATCCGCATTATCAATAGAGTGTCATGCATTTGGTTGGCCTCTCATGAGCCTGCAGTCGCCACTATTTTGTCTTTTTTTCTACATGTATCGTAAGGCATTTTACAGCTGACGATAAAGATCATGTATATGGGTTTCGCATGACTTCTACCTAGCTTTCACGCCTATTCTGAGGTCTACCGATAGCATTCTTGCGGAACTTACTGGTGGGACTTAGTAAAACAAGACACAACCGACCACTGCTCATAGCGAAGACTCAAGCCAGCTCCCCGCATACTTACACCCGAGATAGCTACCGTCTTCCCTCGGACTAGACGCCTAGGCGTTCTAAAAAAACTAGACGCCTAGGCGTTCTATTCAAGTGAAACTGCGAAACTCTGAAGGATGCAAAAGGTAGGCGTTGTATTCAAGTAAATCTAAAAAACCCGAAGGTTGGTAGTGGCCTCTAAGCTATATCCGCATTCCTGCTACGTGCAACGCAAACTGAGGGCCCAGTCGAGCAAGGCATATCTTCCCAGTTGCCTCAGGAACAGTGTAGGTGAACTCGGAAATCACTTTGCAGTTGTCGTTCAAAGTTTTCACTTCAATGCTGCACCTGTGCAATCTGGATGCTGCAAAAAGCTCCAACTCACCCCATTCAGCAGTTCCGTTTCTGATCGACTCAATGTAGTCGTGGTCAAGTAAGCCTGTCAAATCTTCAAGTCCTGCCATGAACTCCGTCAGCAGCGTGATGTAGTCGGCGATGGAGGGTGCGAGGCTGAAACGGAGGCAACGATGAAGACTTGATTTAGTCTCCTCCGGTAGATACCACTCAGGTGGGTCAATGCAAACCTCTTCTAGATCAGCTTCTTCGTCAAGCAGAGCCTTGTATCTGCGGTGCCATTCATCCAAATCAATACTCGCCTCCAACAGCTCGCGAAGCGGAGGGTGGAGGTCTTCCACATCAAATGACTGTCGTTGAACAAGGCCACAAACTCGAAATTCTTTTTTGATGTCGGTGGCGTCCTTCATCTCAATCCAGTCCAGAACGCATTGAGATACCGTTCGATAGTGAGGAACCTTAGGGTTACCCTGCTTTGTCTGCAAAGTTGGATCGATCAGCGCTTTGCCTATATACTCGTCGAATCGGTCGTTGTAGAAAGCTTGAACGCTCCTGTTTAGAGCCACATCGAGCGGTTGGAGTAGATTTTCATGATCGGCGGTACCAATAACACGAAGATGTTAAACGACGAAGGTTTTGTTCATTGAACAAATTCACGTGACATCCATACGAATCAATGATGTAAAGCACTGACTGCCGATAAAATCGAGTCTCCGCTCGGCCGCAAATTACATGTTCTGCATGCTCCAGCAATATCTGATCGTTCCACATCCCTGTTGGGTTAACATCAACCATGATGTCCTTCGAAATAGCTCCAAGTTTTGGCTTATTTTTTTAGCTGGGAGAAAAGCACATGGGGCTTTAAGAATTTACCGTCTCCAGTAACCGCGAACGTTGCTGTAAAGCGTTTGTGGCTGCCCCCCTTCCGCGAGTTGCGATCGTCGAATTAGGTTCCGTTTCAAAATATCTTGGGACCTGGTCCATGTTTATTATGTTGCATGGATCGATGTGATGCTGCTCAATCAGAGACTGAGCTTTCTGAATGAACTCCTCGCACACACTCTTGGCATCAGCAGGTAGTGTTCGGGTAGTCGTCTGACGCCTCGACACCAAGTTGTAGCGCGTCTTAAACTTGTCTAGCCAACCCGTTGAAGCCTTGAAAAGATGATATTGCTGCTCTTTAAAGCCACGAGGATGTTGAGATTTGTAGCTGGATGTACTTGTCCTTGACCCGCAGTCCCTTTTTGTTTCGCCCATCGACCCACTCATGAAGCTGCACTTCGAGTTGCTGGTATTCATGCTTGCGACCCGCACCAGGCAGTCGACGCATCGTCCGCGTTGATCGCTGTCTGTCCTTCGCAACGTCTTTCATGGCGCCCAACTGCTCAACCCATTTCCGAACTATCGATGACGAGGGTATCTTGTGTTTTGCGGCAAGGGCGGCAAACCCAAAGCCGTTGACACCCTTCTTGTACTCTCCAGCAACACTGCGCTTGAATCCGATACTGTAGCTATTACGCTTCTTCTTAGCTGACATTCTTAGCGGGGGCTTTTGTGTCGCTGGAGGGCGATTGTATAGTGATACGACGAAACGAGAGGCCGACTTCCGCACGAATGGTTGGCAGTCGGCACAAAGGCTCTGGCTCGTCCAACTGACAGCAGAATTGTTGGCAACAAGGATCTCGGTCATCATATGCCATTTACAACATGTGCTACATTGGGTAGGCGTTCTATTTTGCTATAGCTTCAATTCGAGGGTGAGATAAGATTTGGGATTGTGGACCAACCTCGAATACAACGCCTAGGCGTCTAGTACGAGGGAAGACGGTAGCTACAGGCAGGCTACATGTATGGAAGTCGTTCATTGTACGTTAGTATTGTACCAACGATTGTCAGTACTGCTGCGCCTGTCCGCGCTCCCCGCTGCAGTTAGCGGGAAGCCCGCTGTCGATATCACCTCCCGTTGCTCACGTCGATCAGGTTGATTTGAACGCCGACCAGGTTCATTTGAACGCTATTCAAACAAAACTTCCGCGTTGAAAACTGTATACACCCAGCTCAAAAACAAAACTCCAAGTTGCGTCGGTACATACCCTTTCCTACGCCAGCAATTCCCTACTTCAGCGACAGCGTTCACTTGGCAGGACACTCGCGCGTTGGCTCTCGCCTCGGCTCGGCCAGGCGCGGTATCTAAAAAAAATATCGGGTTGCAGCGCAGACACGCCCCCGCCTTATCGGCGGGTGTTGGTAATCGGTGAATGCACTGAGTGAGTCTCGCGCTCGCATCCGCTCGCCCTCGCCTATTTTACTACTGTAGGTACAGACTTACTTTGGTGTTTGAAAAGCTATGTGCGACCCACTCACTTAAATATTGTTTAGGTGGTAGCTAGCTACATATTCACCATTATTTGCCATCCCGATTCACTATCAATGGTGCCGATCGGAACCATCGTCAATGGTGATATGGGCACAGCCGGCTGAGACTACTACACCATTTCCCAGGCAGACTGGTTGGTTTCCCAAGACAAAAGGGTTTTCGCACAGACGAAAAAGTGAAATCCACAGATTGTGAAAATATGCGACAAGTAGCGCTTCTAATAGTAGGCGGTAGTGAGCGGTTGCGAGGAGCGTAGCCGCAGCAAACCCGCGCGGTATTTGCGGAGGCGGGCCCAGCGACGAGCATTCCAGCGAACGGACCCGTCGCCGTACACTCGGAGTTAGTTTTCTTTATGCGGGGGTCTGGGGGTGCAACCCCCAGCACACCTTCAACAGTGGGCGGTGGAAGGTATACATGTATCGGTATTTCTGTGCGGTTCCCCTTCAGATCTGTGGATTTCCTCGTTCTGTCTGTGCGATTCTACCGTCCTCGTTTCCCAACCAAAGTGGTTCAAATCATTTTTCGGGAAAAACCTCATATCACGTTTCTCAGGTATTTTCAAGCAAAGTGGTTCTGTCGTAAATCGTTACCAAGCAAAGTGGTTTCACAATCGTCGAGGATTTAGAGCCATTTTGAAGAAGTCAAAACGTAGCTTAGAACAGCCATGTGAATGTATTTAGGGGGTCTATCGTGATCTACGTGACGTGGGCATTATAACTAAGTTTTTTGCGTCGAAAAATAGCAACTTTTGATTCTTACAGACCAAGCTCAAGACGTGGACTGGACCGTTTTAGCCCCATATGGTTGGGCAAACCATTTTGCTTGGGAAACAAACAGCTGTAAACCTTGAAAACCCCCGCCACCGGATGGTGAAAAGTGCGCCAACAAAATCAAGATGGGGCGCCAGCAAAACGCAAATCAGGGCGCCAGCAAAAATGCATAGCATATTTATTATCCTATAGCTGATACTTTAGAACAAAGCAGGGTACCCACGGAACTGCCAGAAAAGAAGCCACCGAGCAGGAGCACAGCATCCAGGAGAGCTCGGCGCGGCGATTATGTTGCTTGCTACCCCTGACAGAAACCTCCCGGTGGTATTATTCCCAGCCCCCGTGCGCCGTGGTTCTCGTGCCCTGGATGTCTAATCAATATTACTTCAACTGAGTACTAGCCCTTACGAAGCGGGGTGGATTCACAATAAGTCGTCGCGAGTTAATCTGAATCTGGGTGGATTCACAATAAGTTGGCGCGGGTTAGTGTGAATCTGGGTGGACTCGTGTTAAGTCGCGCCGGCTTAATGCGAATCTGGGTGAACTCACTTTATGTTGGCGCGAGTTATCGTAGTCGTATTATTATAATAAAATTGTTCAGATATGCTGACCTGAACTACTAGATTCCTAAGCTGCCATAAGAGCGTCGTGCCAACAGGGGAAGTCTTTTCGTCACAGGAGGGCCTTCAGTGGAGGCACCAATGTACGTACATGTAAAATACAATATGCTTTCATTCAAATTCGGCGGGTGTAACATGTATTATGGAATCGGCGTTGCTCGGAGATAGTTATTATGGACCTGTGAACGGGCCACCTTTTCTGCATTGGTTAAAGTCCAGGGATCGGTCCCTGGCTTTGTATCAAAATCAAATCCATTTTGCCTACGCCCGCAAATCTGTTTGTTCATGAGTCTTCGGGAGCGCCGCCAATAGATGCACATGGACGAGGAGAACGTGTGGACACATCCGCCGATGACTCGGAGGATCCGACGGCGACGGGAGAGCCGACGGCGACGGGAGAGCCGGCGGCAGCCGGACTCTGGATATACCAATGGCTGGTCAGGGAGACCCAAGTATACTGAGATCAAGTCAATCGGAACCCGGGAGTAATCCGTCTGATGAGAGGCACCAACGAGCACAAGGAGAACAAGAAGGAAAGCAGGAGGGGAAGACTAGAGAGTAGTTTGAGAGACGATAACATTTAATCTCACTTCGGAATTTGCCCCCTCAACCACAAGCTACAAACCAACAGGTTAACAGCCGCAACAAGCTCAAGCCCTCCCCGACGACCGACATGACGACGTCCAGCAAGAAGGCCGAAGTCATCCTGGGAAGTGACAATTACTTCCACTGGGAGTTCGCGATGCGTATGACGCTCGCGAGGAAGGGGCTGCTGGCGCACGTCCAAGTGGTGAAGGACCCGACGGAGATGACGGAGGCCTGGATGCTCAACGACATGAAGGCGCTCGGTCTGATCGCTCAAGGCGTGGCTGTGGAACACCACACGAAGATTCGGTCGGCGACGTCGGCTATCCAAGCCTGGAATACTCTACGCGAGTTCTACAACCGGACGACGATGCATAATCGGGTCACGATGACTCGTCGGCTCCACGAGTTCAAGATGGAGGACGATGCGACGATGGCGAAGCACCTGAACAAGTTCAACGAGCTCATCGTGGGCCTTCAGACGCTTGGAGAGCCCCTCGATGACTCCCGACAACTCGTCATCCTGCTGAGCAGCTTGCCGGCGGAGTACGAGTTGATCGCATCCATCGTCGAGAACTGGAAGGACGTGACCCTCATCGAGGTGAAGGAGAAGCTGCTCAAGAAGTACGAGCGGCAGGAGAAGAAGGAGACCACGGAGCGCGCGTTGAAGGCTACCTCGTTCGGAGGTAGGGGCCAGAACGGGAAGTTCGGCAAGGGCGGCAAGGCATTCGGCCGCAAGCGCAACGGCGGACGAAAGGTCGGTGGCTTCAAGGGCAAGTGCTTCAACTGTGACCAAGTGGGCCACATGAAGCGGGACTGCCCGGAAAAAGCAAATGCAGACACCGCCGAAGACTCGGTGTTCGCTGTGGCGGAGAATCCATCAGCGGGTTGGCTGATCGATAGTGGGGCGACGGCTCACATGACGCCTCACCGCGATAACTTGTTCGAGTACAACGAGTCGTCGGCGGACATGTATGTGACAATCGCGGACGGGAAGAAGATCCGCGTGGCTGGGAAAGGGTCGGTGCGCCTAACGGGCATCGACGGCAAGCGCATCAAGATGGGGGAGGTGCTCCACATCCCCGGATTCGACCGGCGACTACTCTCGGTTGGGAGGTTGGCTGAAGGCGGCATGAGTGTCGAGTTCCAGCGGAAGTCCTGCGTCGTCTGGGACAAGACGAAGGCGATCGCTTCGGGGAAGAAGGTCGGCAAGGCGTACTTGCTGGACTGCCAGCAGGACATGGTGTATTACACCGAGTACTCGGGAGTCGACGGGAAGTGGGAGCTATGGCACACTCGTATGGGACACTTGAACGGAGACGCTATGGCAAAGGCCCGCGAGGCGACGGACGGGCTCCCGACGACTCAACAGCAGACGAAGACCCTGTGCGGAGGATGCATGAAGGGCAAGCAGACGGTCGCACATTTCCCGTCGCGGTCGACGTCGGCGACGACTCGACCACTGGAACTAGTTCATACGGACGTGATGGGTCCTATGAAGACGAAGTCCAAGGGCGGAGCGAGGTATGTGCTCACATTTGTCGACGACTACTCGCGACACGTCGTGGTGTACTTCTTGACCAAGAAGAGCGAGGTCGTGACCAAGTTCAAGTCGTTCATGAAGCTGTACGAGAACCAATGGGGACAGCGCATTAAATGCCTGCGCTCGGACAACGGCACTGAGTTCGTGAACACGCCAATGACTGAGATCTGCCGGGTGAATGGGATTATGCATCAGAAGACGGTCGCATATAGCCCCCAGCAGAACGGCGTGGCGGAGCGGATGAACCGCACGATCATGGAGAAGGCTCGAAGCATGCTACACTACAAGGGCGTGGCTTCGATATGGTGGGCAGAGGCGGTCAGCACTGCTGTCTACCTGATCAACCGGTCGACGAACAGCATGCACCCGACCAAGACTCCGTACGAGTTGACGTTCAAGTCAAAGCCTCGGCTGGATCATCTTCGAGTCTTCGGGTCGATGGGTTACGCTCATGTCGACAAGTCGCGACGCACCAAGTTGGAGCCGAAAAGCTTCAAATGTATGTTTCTTGGGTACGCCGACGACTCAAAAGGCTACCGAATGTACGACTTGGAGTCGAACAAGGTGAAGGTATCCAGGTCGGTGAAGCTGGACGAGCGCGAGGTGAACGGCATCTACGACACGTCGCCCAGCGAGAACTCG